TTCTGTTTGAGAAAGTCGTCTTATTTTCTTCATGAGAAAGAGTATGTTATATCAATTAGTCATGGCTTTGCGGTCTTAATCTTAGAAAATTTCGTAATTACCAGCCTCTTCTCATCTGTGTACCCATCTAAGTTGTAAAGTCTTGTTGTAGAGTTTCTAAGTGTTAAAAGGATCCTAACCAAAGCCGTCTTGAGGATAACCACTTGAACATTCTTCTTGAGGATTATCAGTGTAGTTGTGAGCATCAAGCAAAGCCTCGCGTTGGCATCGCTCATGAAATTATGTGAGCTGAGAGGATTTTACCTGTAGAACTTGTCGGCCTGGGAAGCAGCTCGAGGATTGGAACTCCATGTCAAGGGGGAGCCCTCTGTGGCACTCCAAACAACCATTTTTCTAGACATTGACGTATCCTCTCTCTCTCTCTCTCTCTCTCTCTCTCTCTCTCTCTCTCTCTCATTCTCTCTCATTCTCTCTCATCCGGAGGATCAGGCCGGTTCTGGCTACGTGATAGTTGGGTACGCAGCCTGTTTTTTGCTCTTTTTTGTGGGGGCTACGTCAGTCGGTTCTGACAGGCAGACTCGTAAAAGACATGAAGAACCGAGCGGCGGATGGCTCTCGCTTCCGGTCCCCATCCAGGAAAGCTTTAGCCAGCCTGCCTTTCTCTCTCTCTCTCTCTCTCTCTCAAGATTCCCTCTGGTATGAATCTTGATCACGATCTAGTTCACTAAATATGGGGCCCCCTGAAGGACGCGTTTACGAAGAGCTGCACCGCGTACCTCCTTTAGATAATAACTTCCAATTTGGAGTTTATATTTAGCATAAACATCTATAAACGGCAAATTTATCCTCCGAAAACTCAACCCAGATCTGGAAAACCAGATGATTTGCTCCAAATCTAAGTGGCATACCGATCATGATTCACTCGGGCTACTCAGTTATTTATAACAGACCGAAATCCGTCGCTAGTACTTCGATTGATTGGTCTCCAAATGTTTAGAGACAAGCAGCTACCCAGGTTCCAAGCTGGTGTGAAGCCTAAGCTGATGTGCATGTGACGGAACTCAGTGATATTAGCATGTGTTTTTGTCCTTAGACCCCTACAAAAACGTTTGCTTCAGAGAATGATCCCAACCTTTCTCGACAGGCGGTTCTTCTCCCCAACCCAACTCAGGAGCATTTGTATGGTTGTGACTGCGGTAACAAGGTGATAACTAGTAGCCACCAGGTCCCACTTCAGGGGAGTCTCCTCTTTTTTGTGGGACCCACATGGCAATTCATCCTCAGATTCACATTATGAGAGAGAGAGAGAGCGAGTGAGAGGGAGAGAGAATGAGTGTGTGTGTGTGTGTGAGAGAGAGAGAGAGAGAGCGAGTGAGAGGGAGAGAGAATGAGTGTGTGTGTGTGTGTGTGTGTGTGAGAGAGAGAGAGAGAGAGAGAGAGAGCGCGGCGCTGTCAACATGATTTACCCTCATACCTTCAGAACAACCCAAGCCAAACCCAACGTCAACGCCACGTGGCAACAAACCAATAACTCCAGGCCTTGTAGAAAAAATCCTTCCCAAGTATGGACATGATCGAGCAAGGCTTTGGTGTGTATTTTCTAGAGGAAAAATAATAGGATATTATATCCATCTCTAAATTCTTGTAGAAATAAATAGAACGCTTTTACTTTCATCATGTGCCCTTCTAAAACTCAAATAATAGAAATATTTATTTTAAAATAAAATTTAAATCCATGATTTATCGTTGTTCTTGGTTATAGGCTGACGTGTAATTATTGCATATTTCCCAAAAAATATCTCTAGTAGTTCTTCTCCAGAAAAATGGGGATATTTACCGATTAAATAGCCTAAACGTTAGGAGGAAGAGATGGTTCAGTCCTTGTACAATTCTCACAAGCCAAAAGGCAATGCTTATAATACCCTGAGGTGAGGAATAAAATTTCTCATGCATGGGAAACATTTTTCGTGGCTCGTGTGCACGTGCAGTTGCACGGCTGAGTTGTGGAAGAAAAAAGCACCATATATTTAAAAATATTTATTCTCTGCGAATACTTTGACGAACACCCTTCCATCAGTTAAGAAGCACAAAATCACTTTCTTAAAAACTTATTTGCGTATACACCCTTTATTTAATTATATAAAAAAATACAAACTCTCTCTTATTCAAGGGAAAACCTACCTCAATCTAAATGATGCCAACTTGCGCACTCTCCTTCTCTTCTATCTATCGATCTATCTATCTATCTATCTATCTATCTATCTATCTATCTATTTCTGACCTAAAAATAATACATGCCAAGTCAGGTATGGATTCCTCATGGGTCAAACCTAAACGCCATTTTCAGGCTTTCCTCCAAGAACCAGTGGGTTCTCCTAGCCATTATCAAATGGTGATCTTAGGCTCAAAAGGGCAACAATTGCCTTATGCACTTAAAATGAGAGATAGCTACCCTCATGAGCTTTCAGCAGATGATAGCTGGAGCTTCATCACCATCGTTGCCTTTCTCAAGGTCAACGAGGAATGCCGTGGACTTCAACGACTGCTGGTCGGCCTCAATCCTTGTTTCCATCACAGATTGATGGCGTTTTTTTTGTTGTGTGAGGGAAAAAGAAATTATTTTCCCATTGGTAGGAATGTAGTTTGAATTTTCTAGAGATTTGTTTGATGTACATTTTACCTCCTCTAGAGGATAGATAACATGTGCATATGCCCCCGCCGTTTTTCCCCACCTGTTCTGTGCGCACGGGTTCCCTCTCCTCAAATGAGAGATCTTTGGCCCCTCCATCCTCCGCGAAAACAGTCTTCGTCCTCCGGGTTCCTGGTCTGACGAGCTGCTGGTGGTGGCGGGGAAGAGGGGAAGAGGATGAAGGGCCCCGGCAACTGTGCCCACAGGTTCCCAGTGCATCATAAATTTTCCCGCTGGAGCATTTTTACGTCGCAGAGGACTGCTTCTGGTGTTTGCTTGATCGTGCGAAAAGAAGAGTCATGGGTGTCTGACTACCAGCCTTCACTGTGTCCTTTTCAACTACTCTTCTGTTCTTGGGTGGATAAGTCAAGCTCCACCGTCTCCCTCCCTTTCCTAACCCACCAATCGCCTTCTCCCATCCTAATCTTCGCATTTACCCAAGTCGTCTACCCTTCTCTCTCTCTCTCCCCCTCTCTGTCTCTCTCCCTGTATAGGCATTGGTTCACATGAATGGTCTGCTGTCGGGGTCTTCTAAACGGTTCCCATACTTCACGGCAGAGTGGTCATCATGGCGCCTTGTTGTTTCCGTTTTCCTTCTGTGTTCATCCTCTGCTTTCCGAAAAAGACGGATTTTCACACCACGCGTTCTGCGTTTCATGTTTCCGATTGAGTCTCGCTTACTTGCTGCGTGTTTTCTCCCCCACGCGAGTCTGGTAACCGCCGTCCGTCTTTCTCTTTAGCTTGTGCTGAATCTGGTTAGCGTTTCACCAGGATGTCCCCCTGCCATCTCCTCTGATTGCTCTTCCTTTGTTCTTGGCGCATGGTAGTGGGTCTGAATTCTTCGGAAATACACCGCGGAAATCGGATATTTTTGCTCCTTCCACGAATTTTGTGGGCGCGTTCTTGTGGTGTGAGTCTTTGGATTTTTGGGTGCATTATATTTTGAATTTAATAACATTGGATTTTTTACCGCATTATATCTTGAACTTACTACTTTTGGAATATAGGTTTTTGCTGCTTGGTGGGGCTTAAGCTCATAACCTAAGTACTGTGGGAGCCGAAGGATTAATGTCGATTCTGCAGCTGGTAATCTTTGTTCTGGTGGCGTGTAGTCTCATTTAGTCTGAAGCAAAGATGGTCTGAAAGAAGAAAATTTTCCCATATATATAATTTTCTAGATCATTATTATTCATCATTTTCCTGGCATTTTCTATCTCTGATTCAGAGATTACAAAAGCAAAATTATCTGTGAAGCGTGATTATGATCAAGCATCTTTGCCTTTGAATGTTTTTTTCGCCTGTATGACCTCCAGTTTTCCGATTTTTTTAAAATTTCAGTAATCAATGAAAGCAGTGAACTTCTTTAATCGTAAGAAATATTTTGGAAATGACATTTACTTCAAGTTGATGTCAAGCTTTGTTTGCAATGGAGATTGATCATAAGTTTTCACACCCCAACGAGAGATTTTAGTTCCAATTGCAATTTATACTTTGCCAGTATCTGCAAGCTTTTCTTTAAAATTTATGTTACTAGTTTCCATTAGCGCACTCTAATTTTGAACACATTCCGAGCTCCATTCGGTTCTTGGTTCAAACAATTTTGGTTAGTTTTTTTCTTGTACGAGCTGCAATAAAAAAAAGTTTCCTATAGCATCTGGTGAGCAGTTATTGATTGCGAGATGGAATTCTATATCAGGGTTACTAACGTTTTGGTTTCTAAGATTGTTGCTAGTTTGTACAAGCAAGAATGGTAGGCATCGGATTTGTGGACAGGATCCTCATATATCACAGGTCTGGCTGAAATGAAGAACAACATGCATCTTACCAAGAATCTGTCTCCAATATCGCGTTGTTAAAAAAATCATAGTAAAAAATAATGGTGACTTCAGCTGAGAATCTGATGGTTTCAGGAGGTTTTAGCTTTTGATATTGTTGGTGTCTGTCAGGACATGGAATGTGGTGCCGCATGGAGTTTGTTTGCATAGGAAGTGGCCTTCATAGATCAGGTTCTTGTGAAGAAGATGCATGATTCGGCTCGTCATGTACCATATTTTCTCTTTTAATTGTATCAAGATCGCTTTAGTCATTCTTATATACTATGACTTCATTGCCGCTGTAAAACAATCATCGTAGTAGTATGCATTTTTTTTTTAATTTTCCCATAAAGTAAATGCTCCCTTGCTAAGAGACACCAAATATCTCGTCTGTTCATTTTCTCTCTATTGATTCTTGTTAATTTACCTTTCCTACAAAAAACCAATCGGATGTATCCATCAAGTTGCAGGTTATGATGCAGGTCTCTACATCAGCTATGTCAAGCAAGTCCTACGGGGACTGGGCTAAGGTTCTTGTGAATGACTATCTGCTTGCGGATCCATTTGTCCCTTATGTTTCTGTACTTGGAGGCATTTTCGTTTGGAAAATGGTGCACCCTCTCTCTTTCCATTCTCACGTCTTGCTATCATAATTATGTAATCCTTCTTATGCCAGCTGTGGTACTCTGATTATGACGGGTGGCATAACTGAGATGGAAACAGATGTAGGGTTCTGTGCATACTTGTCCAATATTTTGTGTCATTCTCTTCCCACATATCATTGATAGGGCTCACTAGCCTTTTTTGCTGTATCTGATGAAGAGAGTGCTATGTTTATGATAAATAGGAGATAAGTTTAGAAACTTGGAGTTGTGGAAACTTGCAGCTAACAAATTTTGTTCTAGGAAGAGATGAATGCCTATGTAAACTTTTGATAAGGCATCATCTCCTTGAGGTGCTGATGATCTGCGGGTTAAGATAGAGTGAACCCTTTTCTGTATTCTGTGCATGTGATTTTTCTGATTGGATGGCGATCCTGATCAGGAATAGATTGGGCTGGGTTGAACTGGTTTTAAAAGAGGGATTGAAGACATTAAAATTTGAAGCTTTTTGTCTCACTGTGATTTCTTGCTATGTAAAAATGATGGTTTGGAGGAGTTTATGCATGAAGAAACCCATTGTCATGTTTTTTTATGGATTATTTGTAAGAACACTGCGTCTGATCTTCTAAAAATCCACTTTCCCAGGTGTATGATCTTACACGCTTACTCAGTCTACACTGCATAAAGACCTACCCTTCTCTCACTAAAATTCAACAAACAGATTGGAACAATAGGTTGGTATTTCTTTCTCCAGGGGAAATGTTTCACTATGTTCATCTCTTACCGGATATTTTTCATCTTTCCCAGGGGGATGTCGAGCATTCATGCTTTTTACATCGCAGGGATGTCTCTCTACCTGTTATGCTTCTCGGATTTGTTCTCTGGTAGTGGTCCTGGAGGACTTGTTGTATTCAGAAGGTCGCTACTATCGAATTGTGCTCTGGGAGTAGGTTCTTGTCCTTTTCATTTTCATTTCTGATGAAACTGGGTGATGATTTCTAACCATCAATATAGTGGTGATCAATTATTTTCCGAAATTACCGAAGAACTTAATCCCATTAATTACTTTGAAGCAAGCTACAATAAGCCTCTTTGTGACTCTTTTTTATCAGAATTTTCAATATGTAGGTATTTTTTTGTCTCTCAGTCAGAGAGTCAGAGCTCGTTGCAAATCAAGCATAGAAGGTGATAATTCTTGTGATCAAATTTTCCTTTGGTAGGTTTCAGTTGGGTATTTCATCGTGGACCTTGGAATGATACTTTGGTTGTATCCTTTGCTGGGTGGAATGGAATATGTAAGTTTGAAGTGCATAATATTTATTAGTTTGTCTTTGATTGAAATGTTCTCCTCTAAGTTCTTGAGAGAAATTCCAGCCATGAATATTTCATCACCTCTCATTTCTCATTTTTGTATGCTTCGGATGAAGTTTTTAATCCTTAAGTTGAATTCATCTTATTATTTCTGTAAACATTGTATGGTTGCCACCGCACTTTTTTTACTGGATTAAAGAAAAATATTCATCACTTTTCTCAAACTTTTTTTTTTTCAAGTTTTCATGGGAAACTTTCTTTCTTCCAAAATAAGAAACACTGAAGGAATGCTTACTTGCAGGCTTAGTCATATTCCGTTTTATGGTTCGCTCTTATCATTTTTTTTGTAGCCTTTCTTTTTAATTTTTTTGATACGAAAATATATACTTATATTTTTCACTGTGTATCTCTGAAAAATATAAAATCAACCAAAATAAAACCACCAGGTAAATCCCTTTCTTTCCTTGAGGCGTGTAGATAAAATATATGGGACAGGGATAGAGAACATTGCACACCTGCGTCATCCTCTGCCTGCTATCTATATATCTGCTATAGCTACTTTGATATCTATTTTTAAGGATATCTTCAGGTGGGTCAATTTATGCACCCTCTTCATTAAAAAGAGCCCCCATTTCTTGTGTCAGGAGGTACCACGATGGATCTTATAACATCTCCAAAATATTTTCGGGATTAGATTGTCTGCAAAATGCAGTGCAACGCCTGAAAATAGTTTTTTTCTTTTTGACCGCCCATGACTGATTCTCTCTCTTCTCCAGTGCAGCACAGGCGAAGATAGTGTTTCCTTGATTTCCCTTTAGTCCATGATTCCTGCCAATCTGCGCATACTCTGCAATAAATTCAATCAAAGAAGAGTACCTGCCCATTCATCAAAGAAGGATTTTTTTTCCTAATATTATAAAAAATTGCAGTGCATTTCATTGGCCTTTGTCAGCTTCGAAACAAAAGATTTCAGTTTTTTTTATATAACCATTAAACCCAAAAAATTTCGTCATACAAATTTAATCACATTGAATAATCTTTCCTTTTCCCCATCTGCCAACTCATGCATGTCTCGTGTACTAGTGAAGATCTTGATGGCTTCTGCTTCCATTATGAGGACAACACTAACGAAGTACATAACAGAAATAACGCTATGATATCATCCTAATGATTCAGATAGGTTGTCTACATCAAACTTAACTTGCAATGAATGGAGCGTGCACATATGCCTTTAATTGATTGATTTCAATCCATCAGTTTCAATGTGGAGTTGTTCAAATAATATAAGTTTTCGACTTTCAAGTTGCAGCAGGTGGTGATCTGTGGAATTTTCTTTTTCTGCCCGCAGGTTGTCCATCATCTTCTTTCTGTGTCGGCAATATCCCACTCTGTGTACTCTGGGGAGGGGCAGTTTTATGCATTCTTAGTGCTCATGTCAGAGATAACTACTCCTGGGATTAACTTGAGATGGTATCCATTTACCACTGCTTTCCATTTGTAGGATTGCAATAATGAGATGATTCAGTGACCATGCATCTTCTGTTTCTTGAAGGTTTCTTGACACTGCAGGGCTGAAAAAATCCCCTGCTTATCTTGTAAATGGAATTGCGGTGTTCTTTGCATGGGCGGTAAGTCAAATGGATTGCATTCATAACCAAAGTTTCCCCCAGATCCAACGGAGTAGATCAATACACCTGTGGGGAAAGGATTAGATAGAACATAAATATGGCTCGATTGCTAATTTGGAATCACAAAAAATTAACTGAAACCTCAAGTATAATGTGGGTAGTGTACTCTGTGTAATCCTGTTTCAGTTTCTTGGCTGTGCTATTTGTGATCTTAGAATCAATTCTGACTGCTCCTTTCCTTGCAGGCCGCAAGAATATTGTTATTTGTCTATCTCTTTTATCATCTCTATCTGCACTATGATCAGGCAAGCCGGCTTATATATATATTGTTATTCTCTGTGGAGCCTTTTCCTTTTTTTTTTTAATATTGCTCAAGTGATCCTAGAGAATTCAGCAGATAAGAGCAAACAAGAAAGATTATCCGATGTTCTATCTCCAAACTTAAATTCACCTTCACTAATTTATTTTCATAATTTTTTTTCTTTCTATCTTGAACCAGAAAAAATATATTAAAAAAGTAAACCATCTGTTACATGATTTTCTCCAAATTTATTTACCATAATTTCCCACATTCTCTTGTATCCACCCGTCAATAATTCGTAAACCACCATAGTGTAATTTCATGAATTCACCATCATTTGTAGAAAATTCTCCTTTGACCAACTCAACCTGTACCAAATGCATGGGTATTTATCCCAACTTTAATAGACCTTATCTTGCGTTAATCATCATATTATCATCTTTCATCGGATGCTATTATTGGAAGTATATGTAAGTTACTTGACCACTCCAGGATTTTCTTTGCACAATTTTTTTTTTCAGGTTGTGCAGATGAGCATCCTCACCTACGTCATAGTGATTTCTGTCCCCTCCGCATTGGCTGTCATGAACTTGGTTTGGTTTCGAAAGATTGTAAAAGGGATGAAGAAAACCCTGGCCAAAAGACAGTGATCGGGGCACATCTTAGTGTGATATACTGGTTGTTGATATCTTGAATCTAAGTCACAAGTCCCACTACTCTTCATGCACTTGGTCAACTCCATGGTTTAGCTTAATTTAATTTAATTCATTAAATTCTCATAAAATGAAATCCGTCTTCTAATCTCCCTCAAGCCACGTTTGATTAGAGTATTTCATGCCCCCCTCCCCCTCACAACCTGGAAATATATATATCTTTTTATTTGAGTAAGATTTGCAGAATCTTACCATCATATGCTCCAATGGTTTGACTTATAGTAGCATGAGAATTTTCTCTGGCCTTGGTTTACTAGTTGAGCAGCACCTTATCAATACAAACTATTGGTGAACCATGAATATAACTATACTTTGATATCCCTCCAAGGTCTCATAATTTCTCGTATGCATTCCCACACTGAACTCCGGATCCCATGTCTCCCATAGTCAGTAACAACTTCGAGTTGAATTATTAAGAAGCTTTCTGAGGGCAGATGATATAGGTAAATGAGGGTTCACAGGAAGTTAAGTGGGTATAAGTGCCATGTATTTATTTTTACCCCCACAGAAATCCCTGAGACTAAAAGGACACATGCAAATATGCAGTTTCAGAAGGGTGTGAGTAGAAAAAACTTCATTTACTTGATTAGTGCTGTCATTGAAGTTTTTAGGATATAAAAAAGAAATACGTGGCAGTCGGAATCAGCCTGAAAAAGATAGAATGAAAGGCTAATATAAATCTGAATAAGTGGTAAAACAATAGGTTCAGGAAGGAACCATCTGTTTGGGCACTAACTTGGATTCATTATACTAATGTAATAGAATCCTGTTTTCATATGATAATTTTACAAATTTTCATTTTAAATATTTTTAAAAATTTCTCTTAGTCGAGGAGGACCAATCCAATTTAGATGTCTAATTTAGTGCAATGTGCACTTGGCTTGATATATAATCATCCATAGCTTTGACACATTCTTAATGATAGTACTGAAATACTTTTATTTCAATGAAATTTTATAGCACTATTTTTTTGTGAAATTGCAATGAAATTTGGATCTAATTCCTGATATCATGTAGCCCAGTCCACATCCCTACCCATTATCCCTCTCTCTCTCTATCTCTCTATCTATCTTGCTCAATAGTCCCAAGTGACCAATAAACCCAATATGTAGCGAGCACAAACCCAATAAAAATCAAGGGCTAGTCATAATTCTTCAAGCTGAGTACTTTTGATTACTCTTGGCTATTTTGTCATGCTATGGCATATCACTATCAAGTAGTAGTCATATAAGAGTCAACTCATCTCATCATCTTATTTATGTTTTATTAATTAGACCAGTGAAAATATTTTAAAATTTGATAATTCTTTTAGATGCTTATTTCATTAATAAAATAACCAAGACCATTTAATTATAAGAGCCACTACCAAATTAGGAAACATTACATGTTGATTTTTAAAGGGTGTGAAGCAAAAGATTTAATACTATCGTAACTAATGCAATAATATGCCTTTATGATGTACTATGTTCGTTCTGATTTAGCATCAAGATTTAGTAAACAATTGCTACTTTGTCTACTACTTGTTGAACATGCTAACATATGTACAAGGAAAAAAATGCAAATCTACACCTTTGTTTAATGAGCATGTTTACAAATTGAAATGTCATATCAATATCAAAATATTCAGATAAAATCATGATCCCAAGGGGAAATGAATTAAGAACAGAAAAAAATGGAAGAATTAAGTTAAAAAGTATAGACCATCTTATGAGAATAAACATTGTATTTTTGAAGATTTTTTAGAAACAAAATAATTGGTCTTATTGATTTATACCAATATGTTTTAAGTTTTCATATTCAAAGAAATCTTTATCACACAAAGATATAATACTTCACATCGATGATCCTTATACATGTTTTCAAGTGTTACAAAACACAAGAAAGATTTTAAATAGCTTTCAAAAGTAACCAATAAAAAGATGTTAAATATTCATATGCATTTGCACATTTTTTTGTATATTAAAATTAGAGAAATATTTTTTCTAATACTAAAAGGAACATTCTTGATATGAGTTGGCCTTTATAAGTAGACAAGATTGGGAATAAATGTAGATTTTTCAAAAGAGTAATCTTGATACATTCATCATTAAAATCAAACCTTTTCCTTTAGAAATTGAATTGACTATTTTTTTGAGCTGAGAAATATTTTTTTGTATGTTTCTATTAAAACTCGAGGGAAATATTTCATTTAGTAAAGATGAATTTTTCAGCTGGTCAACATGTGAGGGAACATTGTTTGATTACATGATTGTGTTAGTTTAATTTTCAAAAGAAAATTTCCTTACCCTATTAGAAGAGTACTATAACCTTTGAAGGTATAATCTTAAAAAAAATCACTAGAATTTATACGCTTTATTCAGCATGAAAACAATAGCTAATGACAAATAAAAGGAAGCCAACCTCAATTTTCTAAGCCTATAATAGCTCACATGAATATGACCACTTTTTTAGGAGTTGTAACTAAACTTTCAACAACTTTGAAGTTCTTTCTCAACTCCTACACTTAACTTGTCAATTTATAGTTGATCATTATTCAAGAAAAACCTAATTCTGTATCCTCATATAATGATCTTGATCCATCATTGACCTCCTACTAGAAATCATTGTAGTTTCACCATATGTTGTTGTTTCTTTAAAGTAGATGCACCATTATATATCCAATGGTTGACATCTCTTCATATGACAACGTGATAAAGAGAAATCTTTGCTCTCTTATTCATTAGGTCGATAGTTATGAACCCCATTTTCAAGATTTCTTTCAAAACCTTAGACTCACATTAATAATAAAAGAGCAAGCATTGCATAAAATATTGTCTCAAGAAATAGAGTATATTAAAGTAATTGGTACTTGTTCAACACCTTATGGATCCAATGCCTTCTAGAGTTTCCCTATTTGATTCCCTTGACAGCTGCCCATAGTTGGAATGCAAGAGTGCCTGCATATGGACCTAGGAAATTATGACTTTACCCCATCTACTTCTCTTTGGATCCAATGCTCTTCGAGGAACATAACTAGGAGTGGAAGACAACTAAGAGAACATGGATTATATTTTCTCTAAGACCATATCAATGAAGTTAAGAAGTTGTTGCCAAAATATTGATCTCTTGATTCTGAAGAAACATTGAATAATATGATATCTTAGTTAATATTTGCTCAAGTCCATGGGCCTTGTTATTATTGCAAACTCATCAATACTTTTATGATTTAAAAATTAATTCTTGAATGTGAATAATTATGTAAATATTAATTATTGAATTATAATAATAAAAAGTTATTTTGTAATGTGAATACAATGCATGGTTCTATTTATTAATCATCCACAATGGATTCTATATCCAAGAAGGGAGCTAGCTCCCTTGAACATTACTTGAATAGAGTTGTGGAATATGTCAAGGTAAGCTAACATTATTGAGGCTAGTGACCTTAATTGCCAGTCTTTTATTGGTTAGTGGGTACCATGTAGCATTATCATGAATCTTTATTGGTATTGCACTCCTCAATTCCACTATTGGTTTCGTACATCAGCCAACTAATTATTGAACAACAAATTATCATTGATTGATTCCATAATTGTGCTTTGAATTATTTGACAAGACACACCCTTGGTGCAACACATTCTATTCTCCTTTGATGTATGTTTCATGCTTGCCTTTGAAACAACACCAAATAATGAATAGGAAGATATTAGCTCTTCTCAATTCTAAGCATGCCCAATTGCACACAAACGATTATTCTAGTGATGGTCACCTCCCATAGGACATATTGCCTTGAATGAAAAAGCTAGAGAGTTTCCATAGCAGATTTTATTATTTTCATATAACTAGTTTATTATTGAATACTCAAGCTGTCATATTCGTGTAGATGCCAAAATCCATGTTTTACAACTTCACCAACTGGTGAAGAATTACTTGAGAACATTTCAACTCTTATCTAGAAACTCTAAGTGGTTAGGTTACCAAACGTTTAACAATCTTATCATGTTCTAGACGATTTCTTCTGACTTTTGTGACTTGATGCATTGACCCCTTTTCCTACATGGGAGACGAACAAAAATGAGCATTTGATCTTGAAATCCCTTCCAAGGGTGAGTACAATGTTCTCATCCTTTTTATGTCATGATGATACGAGATAACCATTCATCCTCATCATCATCATAAAAAAAAAACTTCTCTCTCCTTTTCTTCAACAAGAAGTAATCATCTAAAACTGATTGGTGTACTCCATTGATCAGAGCACTATGATTAAGTTAATTTCACATGATGGATGACAGTTTTCTCATATTTTCTACGCTAAGTGGAGTCTTGGTAGGCTTAGCATGACCATCCATGGAAGCTTCCTTACTCTTGGAGCCTATCCATAGAAGCTTAGCACGACCATCTAAGCGTGCCTACCTCTGGTAGGACCTTCCTTACCCTCTCTCCACACACAAAAGAGCAAGAGAGAGGATGGAAGAGACCAGAGGGATATTTCTCGGGTGATCGTGGACCAAACACGTGGCAACAAAAGAGCAGTATTTTCTAGACTCATTGGGAACACCTTCTCTAACCCCACCCATCATAGAAGCCATGCTGGTCGCATTTCCATAAAATAAAAAGTACCGAAGAGATCAGATAAAATCCCATCATAGAATGACGAGATGATAGTTATCCAGAAAACCCAGATAGAAAAAATGAGGGGGACCCATGCTTGAGAAAACCCAGATAAAATCTCTCTTTCTTTCTCTCTCTCTCTCTGTCCTATCTCTTCTCCCTCTCTCTCTCTCTCTCTCTCTCTGTCCTCTCTCTTCTCCCTCTCTCTTTCTTCTCCCTCTCTCTTTCTTCTCTCTCTCTCTCCCCTCTCAAAATATTTCAGGCCTCCCCTTGGGCGGTTGTGGTCAGGCAGACAACTCCCCTCCTGGGCGGCAGGCGTTACCCCACCGTTTTGAATTTATCAGAGGGGGCCATTTTGAAGAGTTGTCAAGGGCGGCACAGTTGGTCAGCCGTGGCTCTAAGTACATTCGTGATAATCCAGATCCCTGCCAATCGATGTCAGAATGAAAACAGCCTGAAACTTTCAGATTCACTTCCTTCCACTGTTTTCGAGCTCGGACAGCTGTTCTTCCTGTCTCGCCTCTTCTCTCTCTTCCCCTTTACAGCTAACAACTTCCCTTCCACCAGGATAGATAGCTTCAGGAGGGACCCTTTCACGGCGGGAAACCCTACATTTGTTTGAAAGTTCTGAGGAGATCGCGCGCTTTTTGACAGCGTCTGTGTCGAATCCTTTTCACGGCAAGAGTACGCCTGCATTTGCTTCAGGTTAATTTTAGATGTTTAGTGGCGAAGAAACATGAATTTATCTGGGTAATGGATGCAAAAGGAGAAGACCCTCCTTCTAAATGGGTTTTTATTATATATAAATCAAAAGTTGGTGCGGTTTCACCAGGCTTGAATTTATGTTTTTATCATGGCACGAAAGTCCCATAAATATTTCAGAGAAATCTGAGGCTAAGTGGTGGGTTTTACATGAGCTCAAAAAATTTATGTGAGCGAATAGAAAATAACCCTAGATTTGAGTTCTGTGAGCGAATGACATGGAAAATTCTGGAGTTGATTCGGCAGTGAATGTGATTTCATGTTTGATTCAAAGACGTGGGTGGGTAGGAACCCATCACACACAGAAGTGAATTCATTCAGATAAAAAAAATCGCACCAAAAAGGTGCACTTTTGTGAAGCACTGTTTTGAAGTCGTAGGAATGGGTCGTCGCCAGTTTCCCAAAAATCACATGATAATCACGTAAGTAGGCTTGTAGGACTAAAGTCCACGCAAGCTAACAGGTTCAGGTAGGGCTGGTCCACATCTGCAAGCCATGTGGGCTGCTACGTGGACCAAAGCTCCTTCACCCCATTTTTATTTTTTTTTCAAGAAAATATTCCGCACGCAGTAGAATGAAAAACTTTGCAGAGATGGTTGAATGAAAGACCCAGAGCGAAAATCTTGAGCGAATAAACCGGCTCCAGCAGTCTCAGCACCAGACCACACAGAAAAATCCGGCTCCAGGGAACCCATGCCTCGAAATATTCTTCGTTCATGCAAGGAAAATAGGGCAAGTGAGTTAATCATTCAATGGCGGGTCCTTTGGTTCCTTGGTCCTTCACCACCTAAAGAAGACTACATGGTGTGGGCAAGTTTGAGTGAAATAATACAGACGACATCATGGTGCAAATCTGAGTGAGCGGCGGCATTCACAAGCATCAAGCTTTCCTATGGATGGAAGGGCTCAGAGTAAAAAAATTCAGCAGACAGTGGCAAATCTCACTGGCGGGGCATTCCCATGCAGCAGAAATTCCTATGAAGAAGGTGAAGGAGGGTGTGGTCCCGAGTGAAAATGAATTAGAGGAAATGAATACAGGGAGATGGAGGGCTTTGAGTAGAAAAGAACTTACAAAACAATGAGCCTCTGCACATGCCCATTTGTCACTATGTAATCATCTGCTTTGTTGCTTGGTTGGGAGGACCCAACAAGCATCAGGGCTCCCCTCTGGGGAGAAAACACCAAAAGCAGCTGTCACATGCACGGATAAAGACGGATGTTCTCTTCAAAACACCCACTATGATTGATTGTGTTCTATAGCTTGAGGGGGCGTACTCTGAGACCTCTCCGGGTACCTTCTTCGTCTTCACTCCGCCATTTCCTCGAGCAGGTGGCCAGAAAGACCTGCAAGAGCTTTCATGCGTACGGATTATGAATCTTCTGGCGTGCTGGGCCACATGAGAGAGAGAGAGAGAGGGCATAGACCCAGACGTAGGGACATAGTCAGAGAGTGAAGACAGAGAGAGAGAGAGAGAGAGAGAGAGAGAGAGAGAGAGAGAGAGAGAGAGAGATTCTCCTGCAAAGCTTTTATTTTCTGTAAGATGAACGTAGAATATGCCACAGATGATGCCTCGATACTCTCTGGTTGCCAAAGATCGAGGAAGAAAAGGGATGGTTGAGGACTGACAAATTAAGGGAAATAAATAGTTGAAGAAGAACGGCAACTGATGGAAACAAGAGTGGTGGATCGGGAAGATTGTTACCGAGAGTGAGAGATGGGGGCAGATTGATGCTCATAAATCTACATGACACCTTGTGTTCTTGTATGGTACCTTTGGTTTTTCGTAACGAATGTTTTTTCAAATGAAAATGGATATGCGAGGGATGATGGAAAAGAGAGAGAGAGAGAGAGAGAGAGAGAGAGAGAGAGATGAGAATGATGATGACGGATGCAGGAAAGAGAGGGCAAGAAGGGAAACGACCAAAGTGCACGAATAGTAGAAGCCATTAAGGAAGGAGGGTCCCTCATGTCGTCATTCACACGCATCCAAAGAATCTCTGTGCTTTCTATGTCCGATGAAATTCCCAAGGGCACCGGAAGACTGCGACTCCGCCATTAACCTTCGTCACCATCCCGCTCCGATTCACTGATTCAGGGCTCTGATGCCGTGGTCCTCCCCTCCGCCTCCTCCTCCGTGCCTCGGAATAAGGGGAAACTTTTTCACCCGCAAAGACTGGAACTTCAAACAAGATGATGGATCAAGCGACCTGATCTGACCTGAGGTACTACCCCTGCCTCGCGGAAAACGACGACGCCGCGGGAATTGCCTTCCATTCGTCGTCAATGGCTGCTGCGGAATCCGTCCTTCCTCCCGCTGCTGGGCCTTCCTCCATCTCTCTCTCTCTCGCTCGCCGGCGCCGGCGGGAAATCCGGCGGAGGGAATTTCAGGGGATTGATGACGACAGAAATAGGAGGGAAGAATGCCGTTTTATCAACATACCCAAAGGTTTATAGTAATAACATAATTATCCTCATGAAACGCGTCGACATATCGGTGTCTGCCTTTCCCATAAGTCCTCCACCCAAAGCTGTTTTGACAGAAAAGCCCTATACTTATAAATACTGTATTTCCCAGAGCTGTGGATCTTTCAGTTTTAAGCCCTCTACAGCACTGCATTGTTTTCATCATACCCATATTTTTAAAGTAATAATGTAATTATTCTCACAAAACTTGTCGAGATTTCTGTCAGTCATCATTTCCGAAAAAGTCCTCTATCATAATATATCTTGATAAAAGCCCCAATAGTTAAAATATGATATTTTCCCAGACTATTAATTTTAAATTATGTTTATAGCCTGAGTTAATTTTAATCAGAAGGGAATATACTTTGAAAATTATCATTATGCCCGAACCCCAACGGTCTAGGAAGGCTAACCGCCGCTTTCACTGTCCCTCCAACAACATGCTTTCTGTGTCATCCCTTTTAAACACAGAAGATCCAGCGGTCGAAAAGCAGGTAGACAACCCCACAGGCGGAGGCCCTCCCCTTCCCCACCATCGCCCCTCTCCTGTCCACCTCACCACAGCTGATCCCCTTTGTCCCCATCTCTTTCTCTCTCTCTCTCTCTCTCTCTCTCTCTCTCTCGCTAGCTCTGTCTTGCTGGTGCCTCCAGCTAGCTCCTTCGGCAGAGATAAATGGAGGAGGAGAGAGGAGTGAGAGTGGCCGGAGATGGCTTCCCTGCAGGAGCTCCTCGCGCAGGAGGGTTTTCAGAGGCACCAGCAGCGGCGACAGAGCAAGAACCGGCGGCACCGCCAGCATGGGTGCTACGAGGAGGCGGCGGCGCCGCCGGTCTACCTCTGTAGGAACCGCCGGAATGTGGGCGTCCTCACAGGGCGGCCATTGTCCTCGGAGAGGACGACCCAGTGGCTGTGGCAGGAGGAGGAGCCTGGCGGCGCCGCCAGGGCCGTGGTCTCCACGCTCTCCGGTTACCTCGAGGGGTTCTCCAGGGACGCCGTCTTCCGGCAAGAGATCAGGGAGAGATGCTCTGCGTGCTTGTCGGCGGCGATGGAGGAGGAGGATGAGGATCTGCAGGCGGCGATGGAGAGCGTGGAGAGGATAGCCGGCGAGGAAGAGGGCGGCGCCGCCGGGGACGCCATCAGGCGGCTGACCCTCGTCGCCTCCGGCGAGCGGCGGAGCTCCGCCGCCTGCGCGCAGATCTACCTCGCCATTATCTGCAAGATGGAGGGCGACGACAGGGCGGCGGCGCGGCGGCTGCTCCGGGTCTTCTCCGACGCGCCAGCCATGGCCAGGAAGAGCCTCATGCCGGAGCTCTGGGAGAGCTTCTTCCTCCCCCACCTCCTCCATCTCCAGAACTGGTTCAACAGGGAGTTGGAGCTCGCAGCGGCGGCCATGGAGATGGAGGAGGAGGAGGAGAGGGAGGGGAGGATGAGGGAGCTAGAAAGGGTTTACAACGATCAGATCGACGTGGGCACTGCCCAATTCGCCACGTACTACAAGGACTGGCTCAAAAAAGGGTTGAGAGCTCCTCAGCTCCCCACGGTGGCGCTGCCGCCGGCGGAGCTGAGAGCTCCTCCTCCTCCTCCGGTGCCGGCGTCCCCTTCCTCCTCCTCCGGCGCCGGTCACCTGTATCAGACAGTCTTTGGGCATTCCGGCGAACGGGACGGCAGCGAAGAAGGCCTCCTCGCCAGTCTAGCAACTGAAGATGCTGCCAGCAATCATGGAAACTCTCTTCACGTGAGTACAGCTCTCTCTCTCTCTCTCTTCTGGCCTTCATGCGACTGGTGCGATGGAATTGTTAAAAGAGAGGAAATTTTCAGCTGAATATATTACTGGAACTGTTCGAGTAATATATTTGGTTTTATATTTTGAGATCCCGATGCATCTCCGCCTTCCTCCTCCTCGGCGGGGAGAATCCAGCGCAACGCGCATGATCTTCATCTTCTCCAACCTGGAAATCTGGAGCTTCCTCCTGTTCCTGAGTTGACTTTCTGCGATCGTTTGCGGCTCCTCTTCTCAGCTTTGGCTGTTTTCTGTGTAGACAGAGCGACATGGGTGTCCGTCGGAGGCGGCCTCACCCCTCGAGGGAGAACCCAGCAGCTCCTGCTCCTCCTCCTCCTCCTCCTCCGGCGACGGCGGCGCCGCCGCCGCGGAGGTCGTCGTACTCCCTGCGGTTCTTCACCTGCCGGAGCGACCCCAAGAAGGGGGCGATCCTCCCCAGCCAGGTGATTAAAACCGGAGTTGCAGAGAACCTGCCGAGCCAAGATCTCTCGTTTGTCGATCTGGGTCGCGCCATCGCCATGATCTCCACCTCCGAGAACCTCTTCGACGGCGAATCCGCCGTCAGGTCCATCGCCGCCGCCTGGCTGGGCTCCGGCGGCGCAGACCCGACCATCGAGGCGGCACTCTCGGCACCGCCGGTGATCGAGGGCCTCCTCGAGATCTCCTTCTCCTCCAAGAACAACGAGGTTCTCGAGTTGACCCTCTGCCTCCTGGCGGAGCTGGCGGCGCGGAAGGAAGTCAACAGGCGAGTGATCCTCAACGCCGACCCTCAGCTGGAGATCTTCCTCCGCCTGATGGGCATCCACAGCCTCTTCCTCAAGGCCGCCGTCGTCCTCTACCTCCTGAAACCGAGGGCCAAGCAGCTGCTCTCCTCCACCTGGGTTCCTCTGGCTCTGCAGATTCTCGAGCTCGGAGACAAGAAGCAGACGCTCTTCTCGGTCCAATGCAGGGCCAAATCGGCGGCGCTATACCTCCTCGACCAGCTTCTGAGGGGATTTGATGTGGACAGGAACGCGGAGAACGCGAAGCAGGTGGTGGCGCAGGGAGGGCTGCGGCTGCTGGTGCGGCGGCTGGAGGTGGGCGATGGCAGAGAGAGGAAGGCTGCCGCCGCCCTTCTCGCCGCCTGCGTTCGGGCCGACGGCAGTTGCAGAGGATACCTGGCGGCCCACATGAAGAAGGCCTCCATTCTTGAGCTGCTCCTCGGGAACCAGCTGAAATCCAATGGGTCTGCGATTTCTCTCCTTGTGGAGCTGATGAAGCTCAGCAGGTGTGCAGATCTTTTTTTTTTTTTTTGTTCATTGTGGAATCATTGTTGCCCTTTCAAGTATGCATGCATATCTTTGAATTTTTTTCCTGTTCGGATTATCTTCTTCTTCCTCTTGAAATAAATCTGGATTTTTCCCATTAACCTCGGTATCTAAAGCTAATTTTAGTCATAATTAGTGCTTCTGCATTGGTTTTGAAAATCTCTCCTGAACCATGTCTATGAAAATCACATGAATTTAGTCTATTATACTGAAAGATTCATGTTCTGAATATTTAGCCATGATTTTGCAGGTTAGTTCTTCACTAATCATATCTAGAAAATTACGATGAGGTACTGAGTCATTGACCCAGCACATCCATTATTCTCTCTACTAATAATGCCTGTAAATTTAGCACTTCAAAAGCAAAATAAAGAGGGAAAAAAATCACTGGTCATTGAGCAGGCATCTAGAAATTCCTGAAAATATTTGAGACATGCTTCATGAATATTATCTTGCCTAAGTTTGGAAATTTTCGTTTCATAATGAATGCTAGCTATCCTTTATGCCAGGAGAACCCAGATTACTATGTTCTTAAATGGTCTGAAAAATGAAGGCTGCTTGAACACAATGCACATTCTCTTTGTCTATCTTCAACAAGCACCTGCCGACCAGCGGCCGCTGGTAGCTGCCATCCTATTACAGCTTGACCTCTTGGTACACCACTAAATCAAATCTTGTGCTTGCTGTTGGCCAGGCAATAAGGGGAAATGATTTCATTGATTCTTCCATTCTCTTCATGGATGCAGGGGGATAATCTGCAGCACAGTGTCTACAGAGAGGAAGGTATTGACGCCTTAGTGATGGCACTAAACTGCAAATCCAGCAAGAAAGTCCAGGAGAACTGTGCCAAGGCTCTGTCGATACTGGGCGGCCGGTTCTCTGGCGCCGGAGAATCTCTTACAGAGGCCGAGATGCTGAAAAGAGCGGGTTTTGATGATAATCCCGGGTACTCATTTGGCAGCAAGGATACTGGAGCTCATGAGGCCACAGGACTGGTACGCTTCTGTAATTTTACAAATTTTCATAGATTGATGAATTAATTTTGGCAACCATTCGGTGGGTTTCTGAGAGATTCTCCAGTCTGCTCCAAGCAATCAATTGTTTCCATTAATGGTTACATCCGCTAAAAATCTTTGCAAATTTTCATGATCTTTGTAATTTTTTTTATAACTTGTACTTGTTTTTTTCGCAATTTCTTGTTCAGCATGCATAGTTCGAGCTTCATTATTAATAATTTACTATGTTCATAACCTTCATTGGTACTTCCAAAAGCATTCTTACATAGTGAACAGAAGCAATTCTTTGTGAACAGTAATGCCTGCATCTGCTCTGCCTTCAGCACACGGATTGACCTTGTTTCCATCTGTTAATATTATAATTTTGTAAACATTTCGTATGGAGGTGCAACTGAAATCATATTATTAATAAGATTGTGTGCTGGTCATCAACCTTGGGACTTCCGATGAATATGTAAGTTGAACCAAATAATTATACATGATGCTTCTTTTATTTAATAAATTATATTTTTTATTTTCATATTTCCTTTTTCATAATAGCTTAGAATTTCATGTCGAGAAATAACTTCAGCCGCAATATTAGTTGGTCCCTGTGCTTAGAATCGTCAACCTCCATTCTTCCAACGTGGATTCATATTTTTAATAGAAACAACTGTTCATGAACATCACCACTTGCACCCGCTGTGTGTGTTGATATTTCCCATTGTTCAAAGGTTTTACTTGAAATATTTTTCATTGGAGGCTCCAATTCCTTTCTCTTCTGTGATCATTGTTGAGAAATATCACTCAACTTGATGATCTCGGCAGATATTTTTTGAAAAGATGGTATTTTAGCTGGAACTCATGAGTTAGCAATGGATGAAATCTCAGGATGAAGAGGAGATTGCATCAGATGATTGGCAGAGGAGCCTGGCCCTCGTCCTGCTCAGCAGAGGGAAGAAGCGGTTCCTGGCATCCCTGGCAAATTGTATTGCGGATGGCCTCCCATCTCTGGCTAGATCATGCCTCGTGACAGTGGCATGGATGAGCAGCTCACTCTCTTCTTCTCCGTTCAGCATCAACCTTTGGTCCTCTGCGTGTCCGCTTCTGCTGCCACAGCTAGTCCAGAGCTTGAACTATGACAGAGCCGTCGAAGAAAGGGTGCTGGCCTCCTTCTCTCTCGTCAATCTCAGCAGGAACCCAGGTATCATTGGCCATGGAAAGCCAAGAAAACTCATCACTTATGGCCACCCTTCATCAGTTAGGACCCGTTACTGGGGTGATTTGGTTTTCATCTCATCCACATCAGAGGGCTTTGAAGTTTCGGATTTATATTTCAAGTTTAGGCCTGATTAGTCTAAATGATTTAGTTGGTATGGTTTATCTATATATATATATATATATATTGATTGGTACATTTATGATTGTATTGGTAAGTTTATATGGGTCTCTGGGTGAGGCCCTCTGCATCTTCTTACAGCTTTTGCATTTGCTGGTCTGCAGAGTGTCGATCGACACTGATGCAGCTTGATGAGCAGTCAGCAGCATCGCTGAATGATCTGGCATGGCTGACGTGGACCGCAAGAGAGTTGATCTTGATGGGAACTACTGATTCAGTCTCTTTCCTGAAGATCTAAGACTGCAGCATTTGTGGGTCCATGAATCATGGAGATTTGGTGAGATACACAGCCAGATGGCCTGGTACATGCATCTATGTATACACTTTTTGGTCATCTTAGCAAGGGAGGAGAGAAGGAGAGAGCCATTGGTGGCATGTACAGCCGTCGATCATTGCCTCAAGATCACGTGCTTTGGTTTCCTTGATTGAATTTGTAAATTTAAATACATTTTCTCCTGAGAATCTCTTGAAGGGGACGATTTCTTCCTAGTTTCTTACTCAATTACGTGCCTTCTCACTGATACAAACTCCCGGCAATGCTCCTAATTCATCGGTAGGATTATAACATGGCATCATCATCTGATGGATGGGTATCCTTTTCTGACTCAACATTCATTTCCTTCAAGTGATGTCTTTACCACAATGAGTGTTGCATCTTCTTTTTACTACATCAGTCAACTCACCTCCTTGGTAATATAAAGTCTTGAGCCTTCCTCATAAGAGGTGAGTCAACTCACTTCATGTGATAGCCTGGTCACTATGTGTTAAAGATTCTTACCAAGTTATTCAACCCACTTCCTCTATTTGATGGCTTGGCCACTATATGTGGGTTGGTCAACTCGATGATGATCATCTTGCATAGCTTTGATTTGGTGTAAGATGTTGGTAATTGGTCAACGTGGTCAATCTAATCAGAACATTCAAGGTATCTCTCTTTCCTAAGATAAATATCATTGGAAAAAAATAAAAAAACAAAAAATTTCTTGATCGAGATGGCTCTTGGATGTACTTGATCTTGTCATCGCTCATTTCCTCATACTATGGATGAAAAAGATGAACACATTTATTCAATATTTTGACCCAAAAATGTTTTCCATGAAAACTCTGGCATTTGGTCAATAAATTTCCCTATATTTGGATGTGATCTAGACACATAATCGTTCCTCTCCTCCACCACCAACCCTTCTCTCTCTCTCTCTCTCTCTCTCTCTCCGCCCCCATCAACCCTTCCTCTCTCTCTCTTCTTCCCCACCTACCTTTCCTCTCTCTCTCTCTCTCCCCCACCAACCCTTCCTCTCTCTCTCTCTCTCACTCTCCCTCCCTCTCCTCCCCCTCCGGCTATGTTCTCAACTTTTCTCTTGTCGCAATAAGAACACCGCAAGGAAGAAGACGAGGATAGTCTCCCACCAGTCGTCCGAGCGTTGACTTTGACATTTATCATCCCTTCCTCGTCCTCGCGGTCGGATTGAGCAAACCCACGAAATCAACGAGATTCTTAGTATTTACAGAGGACGAAAAATCCATATTTACTGGATTTCCCATGTTGCGAGAACACAGTCATGGGTTTCCGATGTACCTCGGGGATTCGTTTTAGCTCTCTTTTTCCCGTCTCCTAGACCGAGAGAACTTCCCCATTGGCCGAGGTTTCAGGATAATACAGTAATTACAGAGAGACATGTTACCGAGAACCTTCTGGAACCACGCACTGCCAGCATTTACTCCCGTGCGAATCTTGGATCCAAAGAATATTCTGCATACACAGCGAATCTCCCATCCTTCATCGACGTCGTCTTCCCATGCCCAGGTCGCGTACGGCGTGGTATGAGTCGATTCGTATCAATTATTTGTTGTCCCGATGAGAGATCCACGCGATAGCGACGTGGTATCCGACGTGGCGAGAGGGACAACCACCTGCCGACTCAGCAAGAGATCCACGTGTTTTCTCTCTTGCCGTCGAGTCTCTGCCTAGAGAGAGAAGTAACTGACTATTTATAATCGGAGGACCTTGCCATTCCCTTGCTGCCACATTCTCTACTATCCGACTGGTGCAGAGGACGAGATTTAGGGTTTTGCGGAGAGCTCGAGAGAGCGGAGAGGGCACCGGAACTGCTCGTGCTCGGCGAGATCCTTCCGATGGCGTTTTCCGCTCTCCTCAGATCTGCAGCGCCGCTGAGCGACGGGTGCCGCGAGGTTGTGCCGCGCTCTTCGTCCAACGTGGCTCACGCCGTCGGGGCCCTCAAGGTTCGGTCGGTTGTATCCCATTGCCGCAGCGGCGTGCTTGGAGCTGCCGTCTGGTTTCATTCTATTATTTGTGTGCTTGGGATGAGATGTTTCTCCGTTTTGATCCGCTTTGACTTCCTCTGCTTCTGGTGCTAGTTTCTACTCTGACTCGGGGAATGACTTGTCCATTTTTAGTACGTCCGTCTTTTTCGAATTTTATTGTTGTATCAGGAATTTATTTGAACGGTCAAATTTACGTGTATCGCTGTCGCGCTATTGTGATTCACGATGATTCTTTTCTTCGACTGTTCAAGTTCGATTAACGGTAATATGAAGTGGATTCCCCTTTCTGGTTACAGTTACCATCCAGCTTTGAGTCCTTTACGCGCCGCCGGTTGAGCATATTCGGTTCGGCCATTTCCCCTGTACAGACGCTTTCATTACAGTTAAGATATCCTCCAGCTTCTCCTTTTATGTTTAATTTACATGCACGGGGAAAGCTATCTAGCATCATATGTTTACTGATCGTTCCATTCATGCACTGCACCAGAAAGTTTAATTGCAGAACTCATCAGCCTGTGAAGGCCACCGTTACTGAAGCCCCCCCTCAAGTCCAGAGTAAGACATCTGACAGTCGCGCCATCAGATTCATGCGTTATAAGTTAATTACCGTACAGGAGTTTTGAAGTGTTCTCTAACCTCCATATTTTTAATATCTTTCTGTAGATATATCGAGCGGTGGGAAGACCAAAGTTGGCGTAAATGGTGAGTCAGGCTTATGTTCTCCCATGATCAAGTTTTCTTACAAAGACGTGGTTTGGTTTTTTACATGATATTTACGTGCTTTGTTTTTTCTTCAAGTTTTCATTGTAAACTGCGTTCTGTTGGACAATACTATGGTATACGACTCGAAGCTTCTTTATTAAAAGTGGAATACATAACCAGGGGAGGAATTATTTTTAATACTCTGAAACATACCCAAAACATGTCTAGTGGGAAACAGATTTTCGCATTATTTTTCTCTCTGCTGGCAAAGTCTTGGTGGGTGAGCTTCTTATAATAACTTTTTTCGTATTGAAATGTCCTGAAATTTTTTTCCTGATTATATGCATGTCTTAGCAACTTTCCAAATATGATGTTTTGACATCTTTCCCTTCCTTTGTAGAAGAGTAAGAAAAAAAGAAATAAGCTAGAATCTTGGCGTTCCAGTTTATATGAAATAATTTAACGTGAACAAATCCTTTAGAATTTCGAAAAGAATGAGACGTGGTGGAGTTCTGTTTTATATATATACATACATACATAGATACATATATGGAAAAGTCATGTTGCATTCTATTGAAACAATTTTTATGCTCCTTCCAATGGAATTATCTATTGCTTTTATCTAAGTGGACTTCGGTTTGTTGAGGAATTATCATCTGATTACCGCTCCATGTCCCAGACCACATGAGCCAAAAGCTATTTATTTGATGAAAGAGTTTTTTTCATTTTTTTCCTCCCTATTTTGTTTGTTCTTCTATTCTCATCACAGTGCCATACCTTTTGGGGAATCCAGCATGAGCCATGGACTGACTTGTCGTTATGAATGATGCATTATTTATCTATGGTGTTAGGGCCTCTTGTAGATGATTGATTTTTCTTCTGTGTAAACGCTAACTACACAAGGTTGTGATAAAAAAGTTTTGCAAATTTCCGTTTGGAAGGCTTTTTATTCACTGTTGGAAGAAAGATATTTCGTTTGAATGTCGAATTTCTTAGATACCGTTATGATATTCAGCGCCGTATATTTCCAGTAGTATATATTTATCTTTGAAGTTCATCTTTCACAGGTTTTGGTCGTATTGGAAGGTTGGTTTTACGCATAGCAACAACTAGGGACGATATTGAGGTTGTAGCTGTCAATGATCCTTTCATTGATGCTAAATACATGGTGAGAAGTAAATGGCAGGACTTTGAATTTCTGTTTGTCCTAATTTGAATTTTTTTATATCTTATTTTTATAGTTTATTATATATATGTTGATTTGGAAATATCTAGGCTCAGTCTTGGTTATGGTGAATGGATAACTTAAGCTTTTATTTTCAGTTTCTAGGTGCCTTTGATAAATTTAATTTCATCAAATCCTTATCAGATGGATATGATTAAGATCATATTTATTGAATTTTGAACTTGATCATCGTGTTAATCCCATTATCGGATGATATTTACATCAAATCTGATGAATTTTCTTTAAAGTTTCAAGAAGTGGATACTCACAAATCTAATGAATCGTTCATAGCCTTATTTATGTTTGTTTAAACTCACCAAGGTAAAAAGACTCAGTTAACCTATAGTTTCTTTAAATAGACATGTACCCCCGTTTCAAAAAAAAAAGCTCAGTTTCGGTTGTGCTTTCACTGTTTAGAATTAACAACTTGGTTTCGGATATGCAGGCATACATGCTCAAGTACGATTCAACCCATGGTGTGTTCAAAGGAACTATCAACGTATTGAATGAAACTACGTTGGAGATTAATGGGAAGCGAATCGCCATCACTTGCAACAGGTTTGTCAGTCAGTCAAACAACACTTTGCGCACATTACTTGACACATAATATCCATAGAAAAACGTGAGGTATTTTATTTGGGAAAATCAGTACCACTTTTGACTTTCCTCCTAAACCTTATTTATTTCATTTTTTTTTCCTTTTCCTGTTACTGTTTATTATTTACTATCCATCTATTGTCCCCCCCCCCTGCTTCCCCAATTGATCGCTCTGGTAATAGAGCTCGGTTGGAACTGGAGACTGATTAGCGCCTGTTGAATTGATTTTCTCAGGGAACCAGCAGAGATTCCGTGGGGTGACTTTGGGGTGGAGTACGTCATTGAATCTTCTGGCGTTTTCACGACACTGTCCAAAGCATCTGCACACCTCAAGGTCGTCCTCCCCTTCTTCCTGATACCAACTCCCCAAAAAACAGAGAGTCCTCTTATTCCTGCTGCAAGTTCTCATCAGCCAAGTCAAAACCCCGTTGGTCAACTCTCAGGGCGGCGCGAAGAAGGTGGTGATCTCTGCCCCCTCCGCCGATGCTCCGATGTTCGTGGTGGGAGTCAACGAAAGGAGCTACGACCCGAGCATGGACGTGGTCTCAAACGCCAGCTGCACCACCAACTGTCTGGCCCCCCTCGCCAAGGCATGCTTTGCCCTCCCTCTTTGTCAGACCGTAGACTTTCTTCCCTGGTCAATGAGGACGACACCCGTTGACTCCTTGCATCACTCTCGTGCAGGTTGTCCACGAGGAGTTTGGGATCGCTGAAGGCCTCATGACGACCGTCCACGCCACGACAGGTTCTCTCTCTTTTTTTTTTCTTTTTAATTCTCTCGCGATGCAGGTCTCCGTAGCTTCTTAAGCTTTGGTTTGGTTTTTCTCCTCCGTCCAGCCACGCAGAAGACCGTTGACGCCCCTTCGAAGAAGGATTGGCGGGGAGGCCGTGGAGCTGGCCAGAACATCATCCCCAGCTCTACCGGCGCCGCCAAGGTAAGAGAGAGAGAGAGAGAGAGAGAGAGAGAGAGAGAGAGAGAGCTGTATATATATATATATATATATATATATATGGTATTTCCTTTTCGTCCGGCTCACTAGGTGTTGACCATCGGCTCTGTCTGTCTCTCTGTGTGTGTCTACTCTGTTGGTTCCAGGCGGTCGGCAAGGTGCTCCCGGAGCTGAATGGGAAGCTGACCGGCATGGCCTTCCGAGTGCCCACCCCCAACGTCTCCGTCGTTGACCTCACCTGTCGCCTTGAGAAAGCCGCTTCATACGACGACGTCAAGGCCGTGATCAAGTACGTCCCCCCCCCTCTCTCTCTCTCTCTCTCTCTATCTATCTCACGCTCGAAAAGTCGTCATTCAGGGGATAGAAATTATGAGAAAATGCCGATTATGATTTTAATATTTTATTTTTATTTTTTTAATTTTCTCCATGGAATGAATGAATGAATCCTTTTTTTTTTGTTTAGGTATGCATCGGAAGGGCCGCTGAAGGGAATACTGGGATACACCGACGAGGACGTCGTCTCCAATGACTTCATCGGAGACCCGAGGTCCATATCCTCATTATTATTATTATTATTATTATTATTATTATTATTATTGTCATTACCCAGCTCCCGCCGCCGCTGCAGGTCGAGCATCTTCGACGCGAAGGCCGGCATTGGCCTGAGCACCTCTTTCATGAAGCTCGTCTCCTGGTACGACAACGAGTGGGGATACAGGTCAGACCCTAAAAATCTCTCTTCCTCTTTCTCTCTCTCTCTCTCTCTCTCTCTCTCTCTATTAAATTTTTTGGTACGTGTATTTTTGGGGATCACTGGGGATGACTGACTGCTAACTCCTGAAAGTGGTGGTATGTGCCATCTGTTGTTCTTTTCTTGTTCAGCAACCGGGTACTGGACCTGATTGAGCACATGTCCCTGGTGTCCGCCAGCGCCCGCAACTAGCAGCCCCCTCACCAGCCACGGCCCGCAACAAATCAGGTCAAAAAAAAAATCTTCTTTTTTTTTCCCTTCTTGTTTCCGCTGAAGGTGAACGTCAACGGATGGATATTAGTCAGCTACTTACTACTCGAGGTGGTCTATTTTTCTCCCTCGATAATAAGCGGGGAACAAACAATCCCTCCGTTTTTCGTAATGTATACCCCCCCGCATGCATGTACCTGCCCATCATTTTTGTATTTGATAATACCCTCCACTCGTGGTCTCTCCCTCTCTCTCTACTCTCTCTCTCTCTACACTCTCTTGGACGTGGTGGGGTGACCGACGGCCAGATGCGAGCAAGCCATCATTCCAGCTGCCGCGTATGGAACTCTCCAGATGCGGGCTCTGCCTCGCCGAGATCGCTCCTCTCTCTCTCTCTCGCTGTGGCCGCTGCTTTATAAAATGTCTCCTCTCCGAGCGTACGTCTTCCCAGAGGTGAGGTGAAAGAACGAAGAGAAGTTCTGTGTAGATACAGAAAGAGAAAGAGAGAGAGATAGAGAGTCAACCAAGTCGTCGGTCATGGAGAAGAAACCGGCCCGTACCACCTCCCTGCTCACGCTCCTGCTCCTACTTGCTGCATGTGAGGCCCCCGCCCCTCCTCTATCTCTCTCTCTCTCTCTCTCTCTCAAGTGTGTTGTGTTGTGGTGTGTTTTCAGGGGAGGCGGTGGAGGGGAGGGTATGCGAGTTCCCGAGCAGCATCTTCAAGGGGCTCTGCTGGAGGGACAGGAACTGCGCCAACGTCTGCCACGCTGAGGGCCACGGCGGCGGCCACTGCGAGGGCGTCCGCCGCCGCTGCATCTGCCAGAAGCCCTGTTGACCCCCCCCCCCCTTCCTACTCCTCCGTCGTAAACCGGCGGCGCCGCCACCGCGCCTCCGGTTTCCCCTGCTCCCTTGTCTCACAGTCTTGTCTAAAAGCTGCAAGCAGCTCGTCCGACACGTCCTTCCCTTCTTGTCTCTTACTCTCTTTCACTGGAGCCTCATACCACCATACCAGACAAGAGAGATAATTTATCATCTCCCTGACCAATTTATTGGTAAAAAATTATCCTCCAATTAATCACCGAATCAAATAAATAAATAAATAAATAAATAGATTACGCAATTGGGTTAACGTGGAATGGATTTTACTAAATAATGTGTAATCTAATATATTATTCTCCTTGATGAAATATTTATGATCTCCCTGACGAATTTACTGATAAATAAAATAATCCTCCGTTTAAGGACGCAGGGAAAAAAGAATTAAAAAAATCCATCAATTGGGTTTCCCTGGAATGGATCTAACTAATAATTTTAACTGAGTATCATGAACTATTCATTCTTTTTTAATTCATTAAAATCACCCATATTCCCTATTCTGATTAAAGGGTCATTAGTTTATGATCTCTGGGAGTAATTTCTTGGTAAATAATCATCCATTTAAGGACTCAAGCAAATGAATAAGTTAGGCCCTCAACTGGGTTCCCTTACAATGGTGCTAACTAATAATTATAATAATGATCATTTTAGCTGAGTATATTATTCTCATTTATGAAATATTTTATTAATTTTAATTCATTAAAATTGCACCCATATTCTCTATTCTATTTAAAGGGTTATTAATTTTTACATCTCCCGGAGTAATTTCTTGGTAACTACTCCTACATATAAGGCCCCAAGAAAAATGAATAAATAATATCGTGGAATGGAACTAACTAGTATATTATTCCCCTTAATGGAATATTTATTACGGAGTAATTTCTTGGTGAATAAAAATCACCCTATTCCCTATTCTATTTAAAGGGGGCAATCATTTATGATATCCCGGACGAATTTTAATGGTAAATAATCCATCCGAATGAGGTAATTAAATTTATGGCCTTGTATTTTATTCTCATCAATGAAATATTTACTCCTCTTAATTCATTAAAATCAGCCTATTCCCTACTCTATTTAAAATGGTGGGTATAGCGGGGGAGGGGGGGTTCATCTTCTGAGCTTTCCTCTTAAGCAGGGCCCCCGCCCTGGCAGTTGACCCCTTCAAGGTGACTGACTTTGCTTGGATCATCCGACAGCAGGCCCCAGCTTACCCTCCTCCGGCAGACATCCCTCCAACGACGAGCGTCAGGACATGGCTCAAAAGCTGCGGACGTGCAGCTTTTAGTGAGAGAAAACTCTGAAAGGATTTTCCCCATCATGGGTCGGTTACCGCCCCAATTTCCTTTCCTGGAATTCTCCGGGTTGATGGAGAACTATTAACTAGCTGTTGTGGTAGCCCCTCTCTCTCTCCCTCCGCGCTCTCTCTCTCTCTCTTCCTTCTCTCTTCCTCTCTCTCTCTCTCTCTCTCTCTCTTCCCTCTCTCTTCCCTCTCTCTCCCTCTCCCCTTCTCTCTCTCTCTCTCTCTCTCCCTCTGCCCTCTCTCTCTCTCTCCCTCTCCCCTTCTCTCTCTCTCTCTCTCCTCCCTCCCTCTCTCTCTCCCTCTCTCTCTCTCTCTCTCTCTCTCTCTCTCTCTCTCTCCCTTCTCTCTCACTGCTGGGATTCTACTTCCAAGGGTCTACTCGGCTGCATAAGGGTTCCTTGGGTTCCTCATGGTTCTATCTTGGCTACCTTGACTGCAGAATGGGTTCCTTTCATTGACCAACACGACGTAATTGGACGCACTTCGTTTTATACAGATAGACCATCCTTCCTTCTCCCTTCGTCATTTCCCATATCAAACCAAGCAAAACCCTAATTATCTCCATATCTCAATCATAAGACACGAAAACTAATGTTTAAGATTCGCCCCCCTACAGATAACTAACGGGGGGTGGCGGCGTAGACATCTTCAAACACTAAACATCAGCTCCACAGTTAGGCCTAAATGTCTTTCTAAGCTCAAAAATCTAACAACGTGAATAGCTCAAGAGATACCCTTTTAGAGAGAGAAAGAGAGCCAGAGGGAGAGAGAGAAAGGATCGTGTAGACAAATGGCAATTGTCGAAGAACATCTCTAGAGCAAAAACCCTGTAGGTGAGAGACAAATAATGTTCAGTTCTCATTATTTTATTACCAATAATATAGTTCGCATCCAAGATGTAGAAATTAAAGAAGGGGAGAGCCCCTTATCCATTTAAAGAAAAGGAATGAAATTCTTGCTGATACTAAATTAACTAAATTTTTCTGATGTTGAGGTAATCAAAATCTTATTAAGTCACCTCTAAAAACGTCTCTTTGAGTTCTTCGAACTTTCTTACTCTGGAAACTAATGTACCCATATACCTACCTCAAAAGAATTACCCCCAAGCGTTTTTATACACATATTCATAAGTTTAAACCACGATACGCATCAGTGTGTGCCTTGGAAATTTTATCCAAACGACCATGCAAATTCAAACCTGAACTCTGGATTATGTGCGCGCGCCTCCATTCCTCCCAAGTTCTTACCTTGTGATTGAGTACCCACGAGCTCACATCTTAGGGTTCTACCCAGTAACTTTCTGCATGCATCAGGGGAAGTTCAAGTTTTTAATTTGTGAATAACTCATTACACCCCATCTCCATAGCTCTGTCTATGCGACTCGAAATCTCTAACCTTTTTGCCAAACAAGAAGTTCGAATCTTAGCACCATGAGCTCCCGTGCATGACTTCAAATCTGCACCTCACCCATCGAGGAGCTCTGCAAGTTCATCATTTAGCTCCGGAAGATGCTTACAGACATCTCCGCATGGTCAAATATTTCCTGCAAGTCCGGGTTCAATACTCTGGAGAGTGCGAGTTCGATGGGGGATGTTCTACCGTGTTCCAGGTTGATGAACTTTTCGTGGATAGTTTGCTTGCGAGCTGAAAGCAGCCCGGCGGCTGTAAGAAAAATGGGAAGACGAAGGATCCTGCCTGTGAGGGAAAGAATGCGAGGTAGAGAGAGAGAGAGAGAGTGAGAGGAGGTTTTCAGCATTAGGAATGAAACCCCAGATGGGGGAAGAGGAAACTAAACGACTAGGCATGATCTAGAGAAGAACCCACGACGCTACATCTCTCCAATTATCTAAGCCCAGTTTAATGCTTACAATCTTCGAGGTTAATGACATCAATGGCTCACTTAGTCAACAAGGGTCTCACTCTATCGCTCATCCAAGTGGTAGAAAGCCCGACTCAATCTGGCCAGTTCTCAGTCGGGCCCGGAAAACTTGAACGGGTGACATCCTCCTCTCGTATTGGACAGGCGTGGCCCGTTGACGCCCTAATCAGACCCCAATCAACCAACCAAGAACTCCTTTTTTCATGTTCGTCCCTTCTCTCCGCATGTGACTGACTCCATTGGGGATGGGGTCTCGACCGCTGCTGACCAGTCCTTCTTGAGATTTCAAGGATCTGATGGGGTCCGCCAGGTCTTCAGCTATCGTACAGTGCGTGCGTTAGAATGTGACCGGTCAAAACACCGAGCAGAGATGAGGGGAGGAGCATGTGAGCAGCCTCGCCTCTTCTCCTCCTGCAGCAGGAAGAGGACATGACCAAGGATTTCTTTAATGGTATTCTAGGGTTAGATCCCAGAAGAACAGGTGGAGGGATACCCTCCCTCTACAGACCGCAGCTGCCTCTGTCCTTATCATCACATCATTAACTACTTGCAAACAAAATAGTTCAATGTACCCACCCGGGGAAACCCGGAGGAGGAGCGAGAGGAGGAGACGGAATGGAAGAAGAAGAAAAAGAAGCCACAAGTGGGGGAGACGAGATGGAGGACTTCATAAAACAAGGGGAAGAAGAGGAGGGCCATTGGCTCCACTCCCCACTGGTTCGTGAGAAAAGCTGACAGGCTACATGCATGGATTGGGTGGAGAGAGGGGGAGATATTCTGCAGGTCTCAACTGGGGTGGGGAGCGAGACCTTCAATTATTGGTGCGGGAGGAGAGAACCTCCTCGCTGGGCATGTTTGCCTCATCTTCTTTCTTCTCTTCTCTTCTCTTCTGCGGTGTTTTCTGAAGCATCTTCTTTCTATTTCTACTTGGAGCGCTATCCATTACGCGCATGGAAAGAGGAAGATGAAAGACGTCTCAAGAGATGCAAATAAAAAAACTTTTACCTGTGCAGCACATGCTCGTCATGTATGAGTATGCATGAGTAAGAAAGACGGGGGAGAGAGAGAGGTGGGTGGCCCTGCAGTGTACTAGGCTGACTTGAGGGTGCAGGAGGCATGTGAGGGGGGGGGGGGGAAGGGTACAAAAATGGTGCCCCCATGTTGACACAAAATGGACTGCAAGATCTTGTCCGGCCTTCGCTCTGCAAGATCCGAATCCACCTCCCGCAGTGGGTTAAAGGATAGATCGCCATCACTCTGCTCAGGTGGCCCTGGCCCCAGTTCGGAGGGGGGGGTTGTGGCCTCCTCCCCTCAGACAAATGCATCTAATGGGGACGGACAATGTCGACCTGAGGATTTATCCTTCGTTTTCCTTCTTTTGGTCTAGAAACAGACCACCAATGCAGTCCACCCGCCCTACCTCCGGCGGCAACCCGGGCGGCGCCGCCGCATGCGGCAGGGATTGTCTGCATTTACGCGACGGCGACGGCCGCGGTCAAACCTGCCGCCCCTCTGATCAGATTCTTGTTATCCCCAAAACCTCGCAGAGGAGTAAATGCATGGGTTCATACCCAAATTTATTGCCATGAACCACAAAAAAAATATCAGGCTCTAGCCGAAGAAGATCAGTCAATTCACTGTGATCCGTCTTGTCACATTTCAAAACTTTAATGAAAGAGCAAATGCAGTTATGTATTAAGCTCCCCTCGAATAATGTCTCTCTAATTGGACATTCGTAATCTCTCTCTCTCTCTCTCTCTCTCATATACATCTCATTATACTAAAACTAAGATTTGACCCCACAATTTATTATAACATAATTACCAACAAGAGATTAAGAATATATATGTTTATCCTAATTTTTATTTAGTTTTCCGATAGTCTATTAATATATATAAATATATATTATGTTAATATTGAGACTTTTCGGGGATGTCATATAGAAATTTTATACGTATTTGAGGGCCCAAGTTCACAATCGGTGAGTGTTATAATCCTCATCTATCCATAAAACGTCACCATAAAACCTTTTACTCCCCGTAATTTGCACAAGTTCTAGATCGAGTAAGGGGTCCAATGCCATCCACTGTCACTGTGACGAAGAACTCACACAATGATGCCGCCCTAAAGGACCCAACACTGCAAGGTAATAATTTGTCACGCACAGTAATAACTCCTGTAGCAGTGCCGACAGAAACGGCACATGACGCCCTCCTCTCTCTCTCTCTCTCTCTCTCTCTCTCCTTCCCTGCCCATTGAACGTCTTTTGTATTCAGGACTGGCACGCATGTGTGAGAGGAGGGCTCTCACCCAAACCTTTTGAGGACTGGTGCCATTCATGTCGTCGTCAAGGAAAGTCTTGAACTTGGTCTCAATTGGAAAGGGACTTGACTAGGAAACCCTCGCAAGACCCATGAAATCCGGACAGACTGAAAGTAGCTCCCTGCATGTAATATCACCCGCCATCTCTTTATTCACCTTCCCTTTTTGTGTCCTCAATGATATGAAACGCTTGGTATCTTTCATCCTTTCGGGATGACGGTCATAGGAGGGAGAGAGAGAGAGAGAGAGAGAGAGAGAGAGATGATGATAAGGGAAATGTACAATTCAGACTATAAGCCGGCAGCAAAACTAAAAAAAGCACTAGGAGGCTGTTTCCGACCTCATTGAGATATGGATGGGTGATGGTGTTCTGGACTGGTACCCTCTTGTACTATGCTCTAGACTAGTACACATTATTGAGTATACCTGCATGAGTTAATCCAAGAAAATCAATTTTCTGATGACATATAGTGCATAAAACCCATACAGAGGTAACCATGTAGGGATTACCGACAATTTAAAATGATTCCTAATCAAGCAATAATGGGCCATATATTTAATATGCTCCGGATTTTCCTTATTCTGATCGACCCAATGGAGATGCCAACGAGAAGAACAAGCGGGGTATGATATTCCTACTTGATGAAACTGGCTACACGAGCTCCATCTTTGCATGTGAGAGAATCGGCAAACCTCTTCTAATTCAAGAAAACTATGTCTCTATAAACTGGATTTGTGTTTGAGTTATTTGATTAATCCGTCTACTAAATGCAGAGGGAAGGTCGTAGATAAGAGGATTAAATTTCCCTAGTATATGGCAAGATGATAATATATCCCTTATCTTATGTACTTTGAAAGCTGCACCGCATTTAGACACAACACGAACATATTTACAGATTCAGCACCAAGTTTGATTTGAAGAAAAATCAGCTCAGATGGAGGAATTAAGGTAGTAATTCTCCTAAAAAGGGTAATTTTCCCACCTATTTTGAGCATCAAAAAAGTTGTATTTCCTGAACTATTAATAGGGTTTCATACTCAACTTCCACATGTTGATCATCAGACCAGATAAAAACATAATTATTAATTAATGATCGGTTTTCCCTTTTTGGTTTTATCAAATATCTTTCCTTTGATTGTACTCCTCATTTGTCCTGGGAGCATGAACGAACAGTTTGCTGTCTTCGATTTTTATCTTTGGAAATTTCGTATGTTTCTCACTGAATTGTAGTCCCTGTGAGTGTCGGCTACTATTTGGATACCTAAAACCCAAACATTCAAGGGAAAGATTGCTTCAGGACTCGCCACTTCTTAGCAATGAATAATTAATTGAATATCGTAACAAGCGTCACTTTGGCATTTCAGGGTAAAGTCTTATTTTTTGGGTACTGAAGGCTATTAAAGAAGATTCGGAGTTGGAGGGAGAACTTCTCACTCGTAGCCATCTTGATCTTCACAAATCATTGATTTTATTCCATCCACACCATACATACATACATACTCTCTCTCTCTCTCTCTCTCTCTCTCTCTCTCTCGGGGTTGAAAGTGGGCGAGTGCGGCCGTGGATTGTCCTTGTCCATGTTCTTCCCTCTCTTCTTCTCCATCTGTGATCGTCTTCTTCCTCATCACCTTCATCTTCTTCTAATAAGTGGTGGGGGCAGAAACAGTGATCGGCTGATCCTAATTAAGATCATGAGAGCCACGCTGTTGATTTCATCGGAAAGCTTCAAGCTAATAAACTTTGCGATCAGAGCCCATTATTCTCAGTCTCCCGTAAAAGAGACCACAAGGAGAAACTTTCAGTTCTAGATAGGCGGAGGAATTTTCCTTCTTCTCTCTCTCTCTCTCTCCCTCTCTCTCTTCTCTCTCTTCTCTCTCTTCTCTCTCTTCTCTCTCTTCTCTCAATCTCTACGCCTAAATGAAAATTTGTCTGTATGCTTTATCCTAAAGGCTAAGCGGGGATGCAACATGCTCAACGGCTAGCTATGAGCCGAGGTCCCGGCGGTCCGGCGGGGGCGTTGAACGTTGACCTGTGGGCCCGGCTGGCTGATGGGTCAACGGACGAACGTTGGACGACCTTTCAAATGGTGGAGTCCTGTCTATCGTCCCTCCCTCTGTCCCCCATAAAGGAACCTGGTCCTTCGCACGTGGCTGTCGTGTCTCGATGTCAAACAAAGCGGCGACAAGAGATCTTTCATCTCCCCTCCCAACTCAAATGGTTAACGGATAACAGCTCCCTCTCTCTCTCTCTCTCTACATGTCTATCTCTATCTGCACTTGCGACCATCCTCCCACTATCTTAAAGGAGCTCTCTCTCTCTCTCCTCCGCGACCGCGACTGGGAAACGGTTGACGGGTGGGAAACTATTCTCCTCTTCTCTCTCTCTCTCTGTCCCTCCCCCGACCGCGACCGGGAAAGGTTAAGGAACGGGTAGGGAACTCGTCGTCCTCCTATCCTAAATGATATATATATATATATATCTTTCTCTCTCTATCTCTTCCCCCGACCGCGAACGGAACGGTTAACGGTGGGAAACCCATTCTTCTATCTTCTCTCTCTCTGTCTCCCGCATAAATTTTGGCCTCGCTCTCCGAGATCGTCTGCCTCATGCTCGTGACATCCAGCTTTACTGGACAACGACTCTCTCCCGATAAGACATCCACCACCTGTATTCGTCCGCGATGATTATCTTTGCCCCTCTCTCTCCCTCTCGCTGATTTTCCCGGCTGCACTGACCCTCCTTCAATGCAGAGCACTCCACGCCCGTCCCTCCTCATGTCTCTTCCTCTCTCCCTCTCTACCATCTCTCTCTCTCGCGCGCGCGCTTGGGCAGCAGACCGTGAACTCATGAGACTGTCAGAGGGGAGACGCACAGTGAAGCAGATGCGTCTATCCTTCCATTCCACTGCACCTCCCCCCCCCTTGCCATAGGCGGCGGCGCCATAGGGCGACCGTTCTTCTTCCGCCGCAGTGCGCCGACGATCCCTCGCCACGTGGCCGGCAGCCAGTCGTTCTATCTGGGGCCCCGCCCAGAGCACAGACACGTGGCAGCTAAGCCCCGTGCCAATCCCCGCCACGTGACGGGCCGACGTGGAGGCTCCGCCACCTCATAAGCACCCCGCGTTGGGGCAGTTCAATGCAGACTAAACTAAAACGTACGGACGCATGGCGGTTGTCTCAACGGCGACTATTCCACGTGCCAGATAAAAACAAAACCCCATCAAGATAAGGAGGAAGGCCCCCCTTCCCCTCTCTCTCTCTCTCTCTCTCTCTCTCTGCATGGCGTGGGACAATAAACTAGCGCTCATGGGAAAGGGGTCGCACGTGCGAGGTGGGGGCTCTAGGCTCTCGGCGACGCGATCCAGAACGGTATTAATCGACCCTGGCACGTGATCAACCGCGCCACGTGGGATGCACATCCCCTCTACTGCTTATGGCGCATCTCCCTCTCCCTCTCACACCAAGTGTTGTGTGCATGGAGAAGAGTGTGGGAATCTTTGAGAACCGTCTTCCAGGCAGCCACCCGACCTACAACGTCCAGGCTTTAGATATCAGGCTTCTCTGGTTCTAGGTAGACACTGTCTCTCTCTCTCTCTCTCTCTCCATATATATACGTATATATATATCTATGTGAGGGGTAATGGCAATGCATCAACATAGACAAATGTGGAGATATCTTGTAAATAAGTACACATATATGTATGCATCCCATCACGTCAGATACAAAATTGGCGGCCACTCGAGGCCTGCCTGGTCAGTAATGGATATGCCCCGAGACAGTCCGAGAGAGAGAGAGAGAGAGAGAGAGAGCTCCATGCCCCAAGAACACTTGGGGGGAGGTGTGGGGCTCTCTCTACAAACAGCACAGCGAAGTAAAAACCCTAAGCAAAGCTTCCTACTAGTATTAAACATCTTCCTTCCTCTCCCATTGCGCTTCTGTCAGCAGAGAGGTGCCCGGTGGGGGGCGCCCTTCCTCCGATTACCGATGGAGGAAACGATCTTGGGGAAGAACCCGCTTCCGCCGCCGCCGCCACCCATCTTCTTCATGGCGGAGTCACCGGAGCTGCCGGAGCTGCCCTTGCCGGAGTCGCTGGACCCGCCGGAGCTGCCACCGGCGTTCTGGGGTCCTTCCAGCGTTGAGACCGGCGTGATCTGGCCGTCGTCCTCGCCGGCGTCAGCTCTCAGGGCCCCCATCTCCTGCCCTTGCACCATCACATGCTCTACCTGCAACAAAATCTTTCAGAGAACTTGCAGAGACCGGAGAAGACCACTCCCTCGAATTCTTCAGACCCATAATCTTTGAGAGAACTTGCAGAGACTGGAGAAGAGCCCTCACTCAGATTCTTCAGTCTCAGCTTCCAGGGTTTTTGAACCAGACAGGAGAAGAAGAAGAAGAAGAAGAAGAAGAAGACCTTGCAGGAGAGGGAGCAGAAGTGGAAGGGCTCCTGGAGGATCCGGTCGCAGGTCCAGCAGAAGTTACCGGAGCCCTTGAAAGGCCTCGACTGCGGCCGCTGCTTCAAGAACACCACCTTCGCGCTGTTAATGGTGTAGGGCTGCCATTGCCGACCGCAACCGAAGAACAGGCGTCAGAAGAAGAAGAAGAGCCAGAGAGAGCTCAACATCTCCATGAAGGAGCTCGAAAGAACGGGGAGGAAGAACACCTGAACGTAAGAGCAGTCGATGAGCTTCTCCAAGTCGTCCAGCCGCACCACGTCATGGTATACGTATCTCCTCACCTGCCGCAACAGCCAAGAAAAGAAGATGGAGTTTCTCAGTGAACTGGAAGAAGTAGAAGAATCCAGTCGAATTTTTCAGATCAAACTCTACCGCCAGTCAAGCGAATACCACGCTGTTAGTAAACCAGGGCCTTGGATTCTTGATCACCCCCCCCCCCCAAGGGGCGCAAGCCTCTGTAGGAGGAGGGCCACCAAAAGAGGAAAGAAGTGCCGTCAATGCCCTTCCCATTGCGGATGCTGGACAAGAAACTGGGAGGGGTAGAAACATCTTTTCCCATTTCATCAAGGTGGAAAGAGCCCGGTGCTTTTTCCTTGGGGGAGAAGTTAAAAGTAGGGCGGCAGTAATTGGGCGAGGGCGGCAGCAGGGCTTCCATTTATTGAGTGGATGTATGTTGGACACCCAGAAGAGTTCATCCAAGAAAAATCTCAAATTGGGGAATTAATCGACACCAGTTCAAAGAAAATCGGAGAATGATGCAGAGGTCTGTGAGAAAAATCTGAACTTTATGGATGGCCGTTTCTACCCGGATGGGGTGGTGGTTCTTGAAATCGAGATTTTTAATTCCGGAGAAAGCTGGTGGATGAAATTGGTGAAAACAGGAGAAGAATCTCCGGCTCTGCTTGCCCTTCCACCTGTTCTTTCATGGCAGAGGGGAATTGATTCCGAGGAGGGCGACTGAATGGTGCTGCTGCAGGCGCAGGCGCAGCAAGAACAGTAGAAAAGGCGGTAGGGATGAAGCTGATCGGATGGACAGATGCCTTCCAATTGAAGAAACATCAACAGGAAGATCCTGGGAAACGGAGGAGCAAGCCCCGGCAAAAGCTCCCCAAGAAAAGGAAATGTCCCGGGAAATCCTCTGTGAAACTCTGGGTAAATCGTGAATGGGGAATCATTTATCGGGGAGCAAAAACTCTGGCTTTTTCGCTGTTTCAGAGGTTGAAACAAAATCCTTTCAGTCTCTCGGAAAACTGCGGGGGGAAATAATTTGAGCTCGGTGGCGAGATGTGTCATGGCGGACAGGAGGTTGGGTACCTGGAGGAGAGGATGAGAGAGATGAGCGGGGGAGGCAGCGCAGTGGGGGCAGATGCTTCTGCAACAACCAAGGCAGAAGATGTTCTTCTCGTTCTTCTTCCGGTGCTCGTGGGCGGCGCAGCCGGAGAAGAAGCCTTCCTCCGCCAGAAGACCGCCGAGCCACGGCGGCGGACTACCTCCCGCCGCCGCTGCGCCGCCGCAGGCCGACGACGAGTCCCTCACCATTCCCACGCTGATGGGTCTTTCCTGGCGCCTCCACTCTCCTGCAATTCCGCCGCCGTCTGCACCAATTACGACATGGGAGGAGCTTCCCCCGGGTTTCTCAATTCTCTGTGTGGACGAGGTGGAGGAGAGCGAGCTGGAGGAAACCCTAAAGCAGGGGCCTTCTTTATTTATAGAACTAGCCGGCGCAGAGCAGGGAGGGCAGTACAGAGTGTGTAGGAGAGAGAGGGAGAGCGAGAAAGAGAGAGAAAGCGGCGAGAGGCTAGAGAGCGGGAGAAGATGAAGAGAGAGAGAGGGGGAGGCCGGGCCTTGGCTGTTCTGCTGCACTGGAGGTCCTACTTTCCATATTTTAAAAAGAAATTTAATTTCCTTGTTTCGTTCCCTTACCTCGAGACCAGAACCCACACTGGTACAGAGAGAGAGAGACAGAGAGAGAGAGAGATATTTTCAAAGATACAGAGAGCGCCATTATAATCTAATGGTTTTGGCAAGGAAATCTCATCACAATTGTCTCTCAGATTACGGCCGCCATTATTGTGCGCAGGGATTTCCTTGTTTTAGTGGCCGGACGGTGGCCGAGCTCCGGGGAGCCTACGTCGGTTGGAGCGCTTATGCATGCTCGAAGAATCTCTCTCTCTCTCCCCTCTCTCTCTCTCTACAAGACAGCGGTGCGGGGGACAAAGAACCCTGAAGATTTCAAGAATCACCGGCGTGCCATGGTAGCCAGGAGGGGCTTCCGGGCTCCGTCTGGGCTTTTTCAATGGCGGCCACTGCTCAGAAACCCACCCTCTTCCTTTTCGTACCTCCTTGCTGCTAAAAGCGCTGGGATTGCAGAGTAAAGAGGGAGCTCCCCAAGAACCTAGGGATCCATCCCCCTTCTTCTTCCCCTTCCTCCTCCCTGTCGTCGTCTTCGTTCTCTCCCCCTAGGGTTGCAGAGCGCTCCTGAGGATCCCCCGTAGCCCATGTGGGTTTCCATGTCCTCGGTGTAAAAATGATGGACGGAGTGAATGCCATCTCTCATCTGCGACGCATTGCACCGTTTCAGTCACGGCAGATAGAAATAGAGAGAGAGAGAGGTACCCTTCATTCATTGCTCTCATATACGAACAGATTGACCTCTCGCTCGATTTCGCTCTGAAAGATTTGCCTCGTACTGGTCGCAGGCATGGCGTCCCATCTCCTCCCCCCCCTCTCTCCTCTCTCTCTCTCTCTCTCTCTCTCTCTCTCTCTCTCTCTCTCTCTCTCGCTAATGGGTCAAGGAGATGGGCAGTCCATATGGAATTCAAGATGGCAGCCTCCATGCCCACCTTGGCAGCCATTAATCTCCCCTTCTTGCTTGCTGTGTGGTCCATCTCATCTCCAAGCGTTCTTATCTCCATTGACTTGGCTTCCGCCGCTATCTTAGCTCTCCAACACAACCACTCCTCATAGTCATCCATTTTAGGATGGGTTCCCAACAGAGCTGATTAAATCCCAAACTTAACCCTAATCAAACAAGACTTCTAGGCGTAAACCCTTTCTAGGAGCTTCCGTCTGGGACTTGTCTAGCCCAGGTCTAGTGAGGGATATTTAGAGCCGCTCATGCTCTTTCCTAGAGACTTCCCTTTGGGGCACTTGGAAGCTCTAATTGGGCAAAATATGCTTTGGAAATAATAAATTCATCATAAATATACAATACTAGCGAATCCCATACTATGAAAACTCTATGTGCAAGATTGCATCATAGAGCTCAAGATTTTAACTAAATAGATATGGGAAGATAACACGTTGCTCTAAGTAATTTTTAAAACCATGGATTTACCTGGTGATTTAGAAAATTTAGAAAATTTAGAAAATATTCTAGAGTTTCTATTAGAAGCTTATTGACTTGGGGTTATGTAAGCCCTCCAGTCAAAGCATGTCGAGATTTGAAATGGAATTTCATAAATCCAAGATATTATGGGATATAAATTATAATTCTTCAAGTTATCAAATAAGTCAACATTCAACGATAGTGGACCACTCGCCCATAAGAAATTAAATAACTCTTGATATTCATATTAATTACATGAAAAATCATAATTGCAATGTGGCGGAGTAAAGCATTATCCTTATCCCTATTGAAGAACTATCTTCCTCTTTGTATGAAAATATGAATTTGAAATTCATATTAGTACTGGTTATAATGATCAGTACATCGATATTCAATTTATAAGTGTAAAGCAAAAAAGCATGAGTAAATGTCTTTAGCGCAAATAGACATGTTAGAGATTAGCTAAGTATGCCCAGAGATTTATTGAAGCTAAATTTGTCAAGTGAATTAATAGATGTATTTTACCATTTCAACTGAATATTAAAGTAAAACTTAGGGATTATTTCAATAGGGTTAATCGTTGTACACCAGGAGAAATTACCTTCCATGATTCTTAATAAATAAATGAATGGAACAATGCTACATGTCAAATAGATTTCTCCTCCCCAACCCATAAATTTCCAATTTATGTTCTTGATGAAGGAGATGAGCTAGCACCCCTTGCATTATCGTGAAAGTATACAACAAATATCCTTATAAGCACACATCATACATGTGAGATAGATTTTGAAACATAAAATAATGAAAAAAATACAACTATATGAGAACTTCAAATAGGTATGCATAAAGTCCTTGTAAGATATGGGTTCATGTCTTCTTCTAATTGATAGTGCCTAAACTTGAAGTCATATAGGTACTAAATGAAATAAATAATATATTTTGGGGAATATACAATTAGAGTTTAAGTAAAGTGTTGATTATCCAATTTTTGTCATTTTTTTGATGTAGAAGAGTCTCAAATATCTTGATGATGACAAAAACTTAATTTTGCAATATTTAAAGAACAATTTTTGTTATGTTAACTGTTTGAATTGCTCTATGTTCTTATCTTATATGACTAAAATATTTTTAGTTGTAAGGTAGTGCCACGTATATGAGCACATGACCACTCTTTAGAAAGATAATTCAAAGAGGAACATAATGCAACAAATGCAGCATTCAAGATAAAAATAAAAATTGAATTATTTTTAATTTTAAAAGATTAAGGAATCTACTTTACATGGATTTCTAGGTGCATACTCACCCCAATAAGAACCACTCAATTAGCCATTAAGACGTCTATTGCAACTCATTAAGCTACATATAAAAGGTGACCTTTCATCCAAACAACATTTAAGCGAGAAAGGGGAAAGAAAATCTCAAAAGGGAGCTGCTCACTCTTTCTTCCTCCTTGGAGTCAAAGTAAGATATTTGTCCCCATGCTCAAGCTCACAATGACTTCCTCTCCGGTATTTCAGGCTTCTATTATTTAAGAGATTGGTATTTCAAGATATAGAAGCTTTGAGTTGATTGGTAAGAATACTCGTTGTCTTCAAATCTGTTAAAAGTTGCATGATTATCTTATCCTTTGGCACATGCTTGTTGAGGTGTAAATATTCAATAGTTGGTTGATGACTTTACATAACCTAACATATAACCCTAGTGACACATGTATATTGAGTGGAGGTTTGTTGAAATCTAGATTTAATATGTTTCACTCAAAATTTAGTGGAATCCAATGACTTAATCATGACCAAATTACTATAAGTTATTGTGTGTGAACTATGATTATTTGAGTTAAAATTGATTATACAGGAAATAAAATGTCCAATTTACCCCCTCTTGAACTATAGTGCTATCAAACAATTTTATTATTCTCATCTTTGGATAATAGCATGCCCTTTTGATCATGTTTGAACCCAATGGCAAGGGTCCCTTCTTCTAAAGACTATTTTCTATGATCAATTGGGCATATCAAGGGTACTTTAACCATCCTCACCTTTATTATTATTATTATTATTATTTTTATTTGTGATATATATAAAAGTATCATCAAAAGTATCAATGGGTCAAGATTTGGGTTGTCATATGGAGCCTAGTGTTGGCCAAATCATGGAACAGGGAGAATAACAGAAGTTCAGCACCAACTGAATCTAGCAAGGAGTACTGATGATTATTGTCTCACTCAAAATAACTGCCCAGCCTTGGTGCTCAAGTGGCTTTTACGCTCTCATGGCCCTTAATGGGCCCCAGGTTAGTACGACGGAGAATAAGGGCTTCTATTAATGGGCCTATAAGTCAACTCAGATGAAGGGTGGTCGTTGAGGAGAACCAAAATGGGAGGTGTGTTTCTATACCCAGTGTACTGGGTCCATTTACTAGTGAAGATATGTGTTATTCGGTCAAAGATAGGCATATTGAAATAAATAATGATCTATTGGGCTATGTTTCATGAGATGGACAAAGTTCATTTCCCCGGAAATCATATTCTAGGGCCCAACTATGAAGAAAATATCCTCTTCTATGACCATGGCCAAGAGTTAGTATGGACGTTGTTGGGGGCTTTGTTAATTAACAAGTCCTTTTTCCTTTTCTTTATTTTTTTTTAGGGTAGAGGGTTATATTTCTTAAAACATGTAGCTGGGATTTTAAATGCATGAATAATATTTTTCTAAAGTTATCAATCGAATTTGATGTTTCTCCATTTTTTATCATAAATTATGTGATACTTGGGGTGGGATCTTCCCTTGTTCACCCAATCTTTCTCTACTACCATGTTGACATGTTATGTAGTTAATATTAATTTTTAGGCTAATTAAATGGTGTTGGCCAAGTAAAATTGAGCAAGCTGAGTTCATAATGCAAGGCTTGATAAGTTGGAAGGGAAGATCATACTTATATAAATTAGGCAAGTAATGAAAAATAAAGTATGCAATCACCTACCAAATCTTCGTGCATAATAAGTAGTTATATCAGAGAAACTCCTTAGACTATATGCAAAGAAACCTTGAGAGTTTTTCTGTAAAGCTTGAATTACTTCTCCACTACGTTCATTAGGGTTCATTAGGGTTTCAATCCATGGCAAGAAAAAAATCCTTTTAAAATTTTAAATGGGCTCTAAAATGGTTATGATTCATCAAGCTTTTAATAGGTGCGAAAAAAAACAATAAAAAATGGGTTATACCTTAAATCTTATTTTAAAAAATAATATTTTTCTTCTAGAAAAATGATAAGAATACCATCACAGATCATTAAAAAAAAAGCCCTTATATTATAGATAATAACTTTCTTCAATTTTCTTGATTAACGTGGGCCGCAGGCACACCAATTGGGGATGGCCTAGGGAGGGCTGCGGCGCGCGTTAGCGGTTTTCCTGCGCTTCCTGATACGTTAGCATTCTTCACCTGCCTGGAAGTCGCAGGTTGGCGTAAGGCGCGACTCTTCTGCTGCGGAGTAATTTCGGATATTTAAATTAAAAAATAGCGCCTCCCCCCCTCCCACCTGCCTCAGGTTTTACCTTTCCAACCTCTAAAATTTAGTAATGAATTTAAAACTTCATAAGTAACTTATTTGAGATTTTACTCTTATCTCACGGCAAAGTTTCCGTTCCGCTTCAGGGGAGGGGTATGAGTACAAGTTAAATTTCAAGTGATGAGTAAATACATAAGACTTTGTTTTTAGATGGCATATCACAATGATGGGGATGATGGTAGTGTTAGTCCTGCGATAGCTTTTATAGCAGGCAGAAGGGAAGGAAAAAAGGGGAGGAAGAAGAAGAATCTCCGTCGAGGGCGTCGGCGATGGCGATGGACTACTTCGTGGAAGCCGACAGTTGGTGGGGCTGGCTCTGCTGAGGCGGCGGCGGAGGCGGACGTGGAGATCCGCTCCCCAGCCCTGTGAAGTGTTTCCATTGCGGGAAGAACAGCCGGAGGGCAGGTCGATGACTGCGTCAGGTTCTGGTTCCTCCTCTGTCAGTTCATTTTTTTTTTGGGTTGTATGGGCCAGTGTTACCCTTTGATCTGCCGTGTTGCCTGTCTTGTTTTTAGGTTTTCTTGATCGATGGGAGTATGGGTGTTGTGCTGAATCTTTTCGTTTTTTTTTGGGGGGGGGGTGGGATTGGATGGTAACCGCCCGTTTTTGGTGTATTTCTTCCTTTCGATGATACTTGTGATTATTTTCGGATGTATTTTGGTGAAATTTTCGGTGGGCATCGCGTTTGACGTGCGGAGACTTGTGTCGTCCTCTTGGTTGATTTTCTAGGGATGGGAGGAAGCCGTCAATTGGTTTGCGGGGATTAATGTGAACAAGATGGAAATTAGGCTTGGGCCAACGAATGTGCTCCTCTCCTGCCCCATTCTTGTGCCGTCTCATCTCCTGCGCTCATATGCGTCGCCTTAATTGTTTTAGAAGGGTTTAACGCGAATGCAGATGCCGCTTACCATGACCTAATGCATGTTTATGGAAAATTCCTTTCATAAAGAGGAAGAAAAAGAATAGCAGGTGTACCGCGCGTTTTGGCCATTTGTTGAAACGAAGGCACTGAGGTGTACATCACCGTTTTTACTTGGTTGAGAATTTAGAGAAACAAGCTTTGATTTTATCCTGTTCTTTGTCTCCTTACTTCTTTATGGTGTTATTTGTTTTCCTTTGCAACTTCTTTTGCCTTCTGATGTCGGAGGCCTCCTCTGCTTCCTCTTCATTGTCCTTTTCTTCTTTGGCTCTTTCTCCAACTGCAGACGTAATGGCTGAAGGATCTTCATTATCCTTTTTTTATGAGGCATTCTTAGCTCCAAATTAGCCAATCCAAGTGGGATCTGATAACCTCCTGCTATTTATTTCAGTCACTGAGATACAATGGGAGACTCCCGATTCTGATTTGAATGTGATGAATCGAAAATTTCCATGTACAATGCTATGTATAGCCTGGGAGTGGGGAATATTGGAAAGATGGTGGTAGTGGTCAACCATGCCTTCAAGGAAGCTTGATTCAGAAATGAGATCTGAAGTAGTTTTGTGACGATGAAAATTCTGGAGTGCAGTCGGAAGAATATTTGGTGGTGTGAAGGTGTTGATAGACTCCTTTGTAGATCACCTGCTTCCCAAGGTGACTAATTCTCTGAGTTGGCTGCTACTCCTCAGCAATGAATGTATGGAGGACATGAAAGAGCCTTCGTGCTTTCAACTCCTGGATGTAAAGTTTGTGGGATCATGGATTTAATTGACTTGAAATTGATAACTACTAGGGATCTCAAAATGATTCTTGTTAAATCTACCTGTGAAGAACTGCGAACCAGGAATACCCTTTTTGGTCATGTCTATTTGCCTTGGAAGAGTGAAGAACTGCAAAAACTGCAATGCCCTATATGAAGATTTGTAACCACCCTATGATGAACTCATCTTTCTATCCAAGTCATAAATTATCAAATGGTAGAGTCAAGTCCCTTTCAAATGCAATAACATGAATTCTTCGCTTATTCTAATTTCAACCAATGAAAAAGTGTTTGCTAGAAAAGTGTCTTTATTTCTATCCTACTCTTTTAGGTTTACAGTTAATTTTTTATCTGTTGTTGATTGAGCTACACATGAAGGGAATCTTTTGTTCATTTTTCCTACAGAAATTTCAATTAGTGTTACACCTTTTTTCTTTTGGTGCATGTTCTTCCTTCTTGAGGTCTGGGTCTCCTTTAATGATCCTTTTGCTGATGCCTTCATTAGAACAACGGGACAACCTTTTTTGGGATTCAATCTTGTGATCTTAGAATACATTTTCATTACTTGACCTCGTTTCAAATAAAGCAAACATTTTATTTAAGATCGCATTTTATTTTCAGATTTCTGGTGAGAACATCATGTCGAATCAATTTCTGCAATAAAGATTGACATCCAGTTATGATGGCTTGGTAGTGTGCTTATTTTTCACCATTCACTTTGGGGCTACTTGTGGAATTATCTGCCAGTGAGATTAAAACAACTGAAATGCGAGGGATGGTTTGAAATTCGATTGTAATGCAATGGAGCACAGAGCTGAAGGCCAACGGTCTGTTCAAGGACCTTCCAATTCCAATAATGCTAATAACAGACTTTTGGAGGTCAATGAGTTGGGTAGTGTGAGGCCTGTGAACTTTTCAATTCAGACCGGTGAGGAGTTTGCTCTTGAATTTATGCGAGACCGTGCAAACTCTAGGAAGGTCTCCACTCAACTTGCATCTGGAGATCAAAGCAATGCTGCTGGATACATGGACTTGAGAGGAATTCTGGGCATTTCCCATGGAGAATCTGAAAGTGGATCTGACGTTTCATTGTTTGCTTCAGCAGAGAAAGGCTGGGCAACAGATTTAGGTAACAAAAGCCTGCTTTCCTCTGAAAATAAGGGTCACTACAAATCTGCTCAATCCACACAATTTACGTCATCAGCTGATGGCAGCAATCGTGGGAATCCTCATGGGTATGCCTCTTCTGGGGCTTCTGACACATTTTCGTCGAAGAAGTTTCTATGTAGTTTTGGTGGTAAAATTTTACCCCGACCGTCTGATGGAAAGCTCAGGTATGTAGGGGGCCAAACGCGTATGATTCGAATTAACAAGGACATCTCTTGGCAGGAATTTGTTCAGAAGATATCAGCAATTTATACCCAAGCTCATACAATTAAATATCAGTTACCAGGTGAGGATCTTGATGCATTGGTGTCTGTTTCTTGTGATGAAGATTTGCAGAATATGATGGAGGAATATAGTGTCCTAGATGGTGGTGAAGGATCGCAGAAACTCAGAATATTTCTCTTCTCTCCTGGTGATTTTGATGATTCGCAGTTTGGTCTTGGCAGCATGGAGGGAGATTCTGAAATCCAGTATGTAGTTGCTGTTAATGGCATGGACCTTGGCTCTGGAAAGATTTCTAATGGTCATGATCCGCTCAGTATGTCAACGAACAAACTAGATCTACTGAACCTTAATAGTAATGATGATAAGGCAACAAAAAGGTCTGATTTGGAGCTGTTTGGGGCTGGTGGTACTCCCATGGTCGATACACTCACTACACAATCTTCTGTGTCTGTCCCAGCGGGTTTGCCAAATGACAGCAAGGATCAGAGAATTCGTCTTGAGGAAGTTCAGCAATGCTTTCCCCCTAATAGAAATAATGCTTATGACGAGGTCAGTAATACTAACAGCAGGTTTCCTATGCCGCCATCTTTGCCGTCTGACTATGACTACATGGCCAGTTATGGACCATATGGTGGAGCATCTGTTGCAATGCCAGCCCATGAACTTCCTCCGCCTTCTAAACAAGGGGGTGCAACTGAAGACCTTTATGGTAGTTTTCAAACAGAGAAAGAAATGTCAGGAAAAGATGCCAAGTTACAAGTTGAGGCAACTGTCCCCCAGAAGTCTGAAGGTGAACAGATTGGATCACTGGACGCTGAGTTAGACACAGTGCATGCTCATCAGCACGAGGAACTCTCCTCTGAGCACTTACGAGCAGAGGAGTCCTATCATTCTTTTTTCCAAGAATATAAAACAATTCCGATGGGTTCGAAAGTCAAGGGTCATTCTGAACCTGAAGGTCCTGAGCGAAAATTGTCGCCACTTGAATCAGGGAATGATAGCCAAATTCGTGGATCAAATGATGGAGGTCTTGACGCATCTGGTGAAGTCCAAACTTCTGGGTTTTCTCCTAATGAAACTGATGTGAAAGATATCAGCCACAGTGATGGACCTTCACGTCTTTTCCGTATTTTCCATTCTGAGACAATCCCCCGTGGTCAGTCTGATTTAGCTAATCGATTATCGAAATCTGATGATTCCATTGGTTCTCAGTTTCGGATACCTCATCCACATGCCGGTCTGCCACAGCAAGAGACAATATCTGAATCTTTAAATCAGTTGCATGAAAGTAACCCAGTTTCCCAGTCCGAAGCTGCTACCCGCAAGCAATCATACCTTAGTGTGACAACTGTTGAAGATGGTTTGCTGCAGTTTGAAAAATACAAGGAGATGGCTGATGCTATTGTGCAAACACATCAAGTCGAGACTGAATTGGCAAACGAAGATCTTAACATTGCAAGTCCAACCCATCTTCCTATGTTGCCGGACAATGATTTAACTGATCAGAGTAGGCGTGACTCAGAAGAAGGAATGGGTGTCCATGGAGTGCAGGCAACAGTTGTGCAAAACGAATCTGTCGGTGAGGGTCAGAGCTTTACAATTGGAAAGAAGCTTCAGAAATCTGAGTTCCCGAATGTTATATTAGCTTCTTCTGATGAAAAAGGGAATGCTAATGATGATATGATCTATCTTGATGGTGGTACTAGAATACCATTGGATAGTTTCATGTCTGATGGTGCCAGTGGGAAACCGAAAGTTCAATCTGAAGAGCCATCCATTGGTAAATCTGAGTCAACTGTAACCACAGGAATTGGAAATTTTTCCAAGAAGCAGGATGACCATGCTTCCAGTTTGTCTGAACTTCACTGGGGGGAAATTTCAACAGCATCTGTGTATGCTAACGATTCCCGAGGACAATTTCTAACCACACAATTTGCTTGGCCAGGGAACTCTGCTGGAACTGTTTCTCAGGCAGAATCGTCTGGTTATGATGCTAAGTCACAGCATAGGGACATATGCATTGACATTGATGATCGATTTCCTCGTGATCTGCTCTCTGATCTTTTCTCTAAAGCTAGAATCACCCAAGATTCTTCAACTATGCATACTATACGCAACGATGACATTGGGCTTAGCTTGGACATGCACAATCCTGAACCCAAGCGCTGGTCTTTCTTCCGGAATTTGGCACAAGATGAATTCAACCATACTCGTAAAGATGTTTCTCTTATTGATCAAGATCAAATTCCTTACACATCTTCTCTAGCAAATGTGGAGAATGTAGGGCATATGACATACGAGTTTTCAGACAGGGAAATCTTTAATGCATCTCAACTTGACTTTGATGGAGACATACATGGACCATCTGGTAATGTCAGTGATGCTGTCTCATTATCACATATATATATGCCAACTCAGGCCATTTCTCATCATAATGCTGATAAAGGCGATGGTGTGCAAACTGAAATTCATTTGACTCCTCTGTCAGAGTATGAGGTAGTTTCCTTTTGCCTCGAAAACTTTTAACGTTCATCTGGTCTTGTATGAGGAATCATAATGATCCTCTTAGATTTCAGTTAGACACTTATAACTCAGTTAAGATTCCAGTATCATTGTATATCCACAACATGAAGGTGAACTTGTCCTCATAATGAGTAAGTTGGCTATCATAGCCCATTTCTTGAAAAAATCTAGGAGGACGAGGATCTTTGGATCCATGCTTTGGAAACACATTAGCTACTCTCGTACGTTCTGGTATTTGCTTATTAACTAACTACTGATTCCGTTCAGTACAGCCCTCAACACACTCACTACCATTTCCACTGCAAATAACCGAATAGATTTTCTTACAATTACCATATCCACTGTGAAACACAGATTTCTGCATATTGCCACAGTCGTTGTCAACAAACATCAGTCTCTACTACCACCCGTAACATGCTGCCCTCAATTGTTACTGGTGTTGCTGCTTGCCACTTTTGTTCCTCTTGCACCCTAAAAGCTGGCAGGAACCGTCATGAACAACCTTCAATACCAGCTGCCATTATCATCATTGACTAACACTTCCACTAAATGCCATTGTCAGCTTCAACCATCGTCATCACTTCCAGTGATCAACCCTATCTGTTGGTGTTGCCGTCTTTCATTGTTCATCACCTGCTGCCACTTGTCACCAAACTGCTGTACAATCACAATTTTGGTGCTTTTTTCCAGTTGCCTGACCTGTCGCTGCACTAATTACCACTATCACAGCTTACCATTTCTAAAACTGTCATCATCTTTCAAATGCTTATTACCAGGTTGTAAATTTCAATGTTTTAAAATTGATTTGGGTTAGTATTTCGAAACATATAGTTTCAGAAAGTTCAGTTATCTCACATTTCTAACTTCTAATAATTTTTATCAATACAATCATAATATAAACACGAATATCAGATTGCATACTTTCGATTTCAGTGCCATCGAGCACTGTTTTTATAGTTAAAATTAAATTACCCCTTGTTGCTTACAGGACATGAAGTTGGACTTCGGCAATATTGGTGGGCCAGCTATTGATACCTCTTTGGGTGATATTGATCTGAGCAATTTGCAGGTTCTTTTTTTTGTCTTAAACTGCTATCCACATGTCCAACTTTCTACGATTTTGCTAAAGAAATTTGATGATTGTAAAATTTCAGCTGCTTTAAAAGAGGATAAAAGTAGAAGATAAAAGTGTTGTGTCCTTCCGACCTGACCTGATCCTATTTTTATTTACAGTGATAGGTCATATTTTCCTTGATTTAGTGCCTTACTGAGTGACTCACTTTTTTTTTTTTTGAAGAATTATAACTTCTTCAAATTATTTGTGTTTAGTAATATGTCGAGTGTAGCACAAACGTTATTTTGTGTAGCATCAAATGGCTACCTGGTATGTAGAGGATTTCTTCTGAAGTCAAGTATAATCAGCGACTTCCCATGTGGATTCTCACTTAGAATAACCAGCAGAGTTGGCCATTTAGCACAGCTGCTGAAGTTTTTTCTCCCAAATTGTTTCTTGCCATCCAGTTACTATCTGAAATGGGCAACCGATGAGATAATGATAGGATCTCAAATCAAAGAACGACGAACTATTCTTATTAGATGAAAGCAATCTCTTGAACAGAAACAAATAAAGATAAAGAAACAGTAGAAGAACCTAGAACAGATGGGAGGGTCGCATACAACCCTCCAATCTCCCTCTTAGATCCATGAGATACTATCACCGATTTCCTCCTCCCTCCCCTTCCTGCTCCTCCTGTCCCTATATACTCTCCTTCTCTTCGCCCCATTTAGGCAGTTATTCTCTTCTCATAACTGCTCCTTGCCATAACTGCGCCTTTCCTGAATCATGCTGACCGTTACTGACTTATTGGGCTTTGGGCCTTCTTCCTTCTAGAATGTGCGTGGAGGCTTATCAGATAATAATCAAAGGTTTAATAGATTGCCATTGAGTATGTTTCGTTATGTTTGCTCTGTTGCCAACTATGGGATAAGTGAAGCAACTTTTGGCACCATGTTTTTTTTATATTTTTGGTGGAAAGCAAATCTTCTTTGATAATGGAAAAAAGTAAGGCAAAATGCTTTATGCATATGTTGCCAAAAAGAGACGATTTTTACATGATCAAATGGTGTAAATCCCACCCATTTTTCAAGCAATGGATAGAGCTTAGACTTCATCCTAGATCTCACACAGAGGTACGTGACATTGCGTCCTCAGAGGAAGCTGAGTCTGCAGATCGGTCGCCACAATTCAGTTAATGAAAAAGATACTGAGCAGTTCTCAGTGTTAGCAATGCCATTATTCGTATCTAGGAACTTATTATTCCTCGCCCACCAAATGGCCCATTGAATATCATGAAGGAGCATGCAGTCTGTAGGTGGACCGGATAAGAAGACTTCCATCAGTTCACAGGTTGAAAATCCTCTTGATATCCCTTGGTTTCCCAAGGCCGGTAGCATTCCCAGAAAATACAAGCTCAGTCAACAGATAACCCACTATTTCTGTCCAGAATCTAGTGCTGACAGCTTGGGTCTATTCGTCAAATAAAAGGCGTTATTGATTGCCACTGGAAAGGCCTTCATTTGCACGGGCTCATTTCACCACATCAATCAATCAATCCGTTGCACAGGATTGCACGGAGTTGGCATCTTTGGCTCTCATTTCCATTTCCTATCATTCTCTGAACAGTTTCCTGCCAGATTTTGTGCTGAAGAGGAATACCACATCTTCCTTCTCTTTAAGGTCCCTTTCAAATGAGTATAGATTTTGTTTCTTGCTTTGCTTTGCCTTTATTTATAGATATCTGGTGCGAACAGTTGAATTTAGACGCCAGACATTTATCCGAAAGACAAATTCGGCGATCCCTTAATTTACTTTTGTAAAAGGTTCAAAAACATATTTATACTTGTGAATGTTTCTCTGCCCATTAAAAAATAAGCGAAGACATTTGAGTAATGCTATGTTCCTGGCTTCTCGTATGTCATTTACTTTTGATTATCCTCTCCCCAGAGCTTCTCCTATCCTGGCGTCATCTGACTCGATAAAAGAGTTTTATTGAAATTGGTAATATTTACTTTACTTCGGGCTACTTGATGCAAACCCACTCTGGTTTGAAAGTTTTTCTCAGACACAATCATCCCAAGTACAATGCAAAGTTTCTTTTGGTTCTTCTTTGGTCATCGACATCAGTTTCAAAGAAAAATATACCGTTTGCATATGCTGAATGCGTTGGACTCGTGCTGTGTCTCCTTAAGCCTAATAGAAGACTAGTATTGCCAGGTTTTGATGTAATTATAATTCAGGTTTTATTTCACTAAGCAAAGTAAATCAGAGAAGATCCCTCTCAGCTGCACCAATTCTGTTCCATCCTTTCATCCAGTACTTCCTGCCCAGACCACTTTCCTCCATCTCCTTCACTCATCAAAGGATTTAAATTTGTAGTGGAAAGTAAAATGGAAATGGGAGCTGTCCTTTTTCTGTGTAACACTGGAAGAGTGCTTTCAGAAGATTAGAAGGATCAGAATCAGGTCGGGATCTATTTTGGATGCCCTTTCCTGTTCCCTTTCAACAACGAACCTGGGATGCCCGTTCCAACCTCACAAGATAATCCTTGCTAATTTTTGATCTATTTCATTACTTTGGGGCCATCACAGAAAGTATTCTGTCAAATTTGATATAAGCTCTGAAATTTTCGTTTTGTGTTCCATCTGTTATAGTTCTTTGTCCTTCTTAACATTATTGTGTTTATACCTAATAAACAGAAAATAAAGAATGAGGATCTCGAAGAGCTGAGGGAATTAGGTTCTGGCACATTTGGGACTGTCTATCATGGTAAGTGGAGGGGCACTGATGTTGCCATTAAGAGAATAAAGAAGAGCTGCTTCACTGGTCGATCATCTGAGCAAGAGAGATTGGTAAGCTTCCAGACTAATTACATTTCTTAATCCCAAATTGGGATGCCAGTTTCAAATGAAAAAACCGAAACCGCATTTCATGATCAAGAAGAATAAATTTATTCTTTCCGAACTGAAATAGGTGGAAGCGTTTTTTGCTTGAAATTCTTCTGCGCGTTTTTCTTTCTATTATTCTTCTCTCAGGAAGAAACTTTGCATAAAGCATCTTTAATCTTTCGTCATGTATCGTTTTGACTTTTTTGATGCCTATGATTCAGACACTCAGGTCAGGTTGAACTAGACATCAGAAACATTGGTTTTCTTGACTGAAAAGCTTCATGTCTAACTCCTATTTTTCATATACTGCCAGCAGTTTGTCTGGACTAAACGCTGATTCGCTCAATTTGCTATGCTTTAGGTTAGCCATCTTGAGACATGTCTATATCAGGCGTATGCCAACTAAATAAAAAAAACAATTTAGTATTTCCAATTCAGGAAAAATGCATGCCAATTTTTTGGAGATCCGTAAGCTCAGGATTGGATTCTTTTATGAAATTTCACTGTCACCTCCGTCGAATTTGGTATATCATTATTTCACGGATCATAATGTTTTTTCCCAAGTAATGGCTCAGATTCTGCTAAAACATGTGTTTTGAACACCATTTGAGACTGAAAGTCCTGTGTTATTTGCATAACCAAAAGATAAAGCGCAATGTTGGCCTTTTTTTTTTCTATTTCATCCTCTTTATATGTAATAAAGTATCACTTCTCAGACTGTGGAATTTTGGCGGGAAGCTGAAATTCTCTCAAAACTTCACCATCCCAATGTGGTGGCTTTTTACGGTGTTGTTGAAGATGGACCTGGCGGCACCCTTGCCACTGTGACCGAATTTATGGTCAATGGTTCTCTTAGGCACGTTTTACTGCGCAACTACAGGTATAACCTTTCGAGACTTTTGCAGATCGAAGTTATGGTACATGTACTCAAGACTAAGTTACTCCATTGGGGATGACAGGTACCTTGATCCTCGTAAGCGGCTGATAATTGCAATGGATGCAGCCATCGGAATGGAATATTTGCACTCTAAAAATATTGTGCATTTTGATTTAAAGTGTGATAACTTGCTTGTGAACCTCAAAGATCCTCAGCGGCCTATTTGCAAGGTAAATCACTCTTTCTTTACATTCTTTAATTTCTTATAGTGACCTTTTCTATTGTTAATTTTTTGCTGGATGGTATTTTGTTCTTGTTACTGGCTGGACTTTGATTGCATGCTTATTGAAACATTTTTTTTATGGTGCAGTTGCGCACATTCTTGACTAGTTTGAGCGTAGCAAATTGGTTGTGTGTACATGTGATGGAGTACTTGCTGATGATGTATTTAATTTTCTTGTTTAGGTAGGTGATTTTGGTTTGTCGAAGATCAAACGTAATACCCTGGTTTCTGGTGGAGTAAGAGGAACATTGCCATGGATGGCTCCAGAATTATTGAGCGGCAGCAGCAGCAAAGTATCTGAGAAGGTAGTGCTTCCTTTCATTGATCAAGATGATACTTAATATCTAAAAAATTATTCTGAGTTTTAAGCGTCTTTTAAGATGTCTGCATGATATGATAAGATATCGAAGAAGAGTTGACAGCAACTATGGAACAACTATTCTGTAGCAGTTTACTGTTATTATGGTTGACAACCATTTTCAGTCAAGAATGCATTATTGAATGTGTGGGATTAATTGAGTCCTCTACACTCACTGAGAGTTGCATGTGTGAATCATTTGCTGAGAGTCAAGTCAGCTATTCTCAGTCTGGATATGCCATCTTTTTAGAAGGTGAAGAGGTCTCACTAGAATCGTCACTCTTCTTAAAGCCCTTCAAGGTGGCTTGCTGGATTCGTTGGAATCACAGGAAGGAAGAAGAGGAAGAAAAAGAAGAGAAGGACGAGGAAAATAGGAAGATTATTCTCTACTGCTGATCCTCTATTTTTCTTCATTTTCTTCTGTTCTTTCTCCTCTTCATCTTCACCCTTGCTTCTTTTGTTGTTCTCATGACCTGGGTGATCTGGATCACATTGTATTTGTGTTCAAAAAGATGCACAGGAATCAAGATGCATCTTTAAAAATTATAGCGATCGGGATTTCGTTCTTAAATATTTGTAGAAATTATCTTAGAAAAGAATATATATATTTTATTTTTTCTGCTCTTTTCCTGGGTTTAAAGATTTCTTCTGAGTTGGATTTATATGATCGCCTCTCAAAGGATCCAGTAGATTATATCTCATAATGATGGTAAAAAAGTTGCTCTCCAAAGCAATTCTTCAAATCAAGGTGTCAAAACCGCATACTTCAAGTTGCAGAAATTCAAATTCATATTTACAGAGTTAAATTCATCATTTTTTGATTTTCTTGGCCTACTTTACTGGTTTTTCCTGTTAGAGGTAGGAATGTAGCTAAGTATTCACCAGGTAGTACTAAACCCTCCATTCAATTATTTTTCAAACGTGGAAATGTTTTTCATAGTAGGGTTGAAATCAAAGTTGTTGTCTTGGATCATGCTTATATAGAATTGAATACATAGATTATAATATAAGTAAGTTATATTATTGCCTTTTCTTACGCATTAGAGCAAATTCTTGTCTGGTTTTCAGAATTTATGATGCTATGACCCGCAGGTGGATGTATTTTCCTTTGGTATTGTAATGTGGGAGATTCTTACCGGCGAGGAACCTTATGCAAACATGCACTACGGTGCAATCATAGGTACGGAGTATAATACCCATTTGCCTTTAATAGTTTCAGAATGGGGAAGACTGAAATATTCTGTGTGTGTGGTGGGGGGCGCATTTGGAAACAGAAGTCTCCTCTGTATATATACACGTCTGCTAAATCTTCTTCTTCTTCATCATCATCATCATCATCTTCTTCTTCTTCTTCTTCTTCTTCTTACTTGGGACTCAGGAGGAATCGTCAGCAATACCTTGAGACCACCTGTTCCGGCTTCCTGCGACCCGGAGTGGAGGCGGCTCATGGAGCAATGCTGGGCACCTGATCCTGTGCAGCGGCCGTCATTCACGGAGATTGCAGGCCGCCTCCGGGCGATGTCCGTCGCCCTTCAGCACAAGACCCACAATGCAAAATGAGATCCTCCATGCTCTCACCATGCTCCCATTCCAGGTATATACAAGCTTATATCCATATATATATATATCGATCATTATTTGTGTATGGTGTCTATAATGATGTCATTCATTTATGCTTTCTCTCCGGGCTTTTAGGATTTGCGTTGACTTTTTTTGCAAAAATACAGCGCTTCCAGATTTTCGGATATGTTTTTACCCCAAAGAGGAAGAAGGTGAGGTCGATTCTCTGATCCGGTGGAGACTTGCCGGAATTGACCTTGGAAGGAAAGGGTCAACGAACAGTCAGTGTGAAATGGTTTCGTGTATATATATATACACATACACATACACACATATTGATCATTATTGTATGGTGTCTATAATGTTGCCATTAATACTCTCTCCGGGTTTTTAGGATTTGGGCTGACTTTTTGTTTTTCTTTTTTTTTCCTGGGCATGGGAAATGGGAGAAATATTTTTTTCTTACCAAAAGAGGAAGACTTGGAAGAGTTGATCTTTGGAAGGAGGGGGTCAATGGGGTTTGGTCAAAAGGGATTAGGAGGTTATGGGACAGGTTCATTGAACTGACAGCCTGAGCAGCAATTGGCGGCATGTGTGGGGTTGGAGGGGAAAAGTCAACGCCCATTATATTGTGATCGCCCACTTGCCAATAATGGAATTATTTTATGGAAGTCCAATTAATACGAGGATGAAATAATATTAAAAGACCGATGAATCCGGCCACATCCGATGAATTTGCCCACTATTTTTGGAAAGAGATTGAAAGGTCCATCCATCTAGGAGGATTGCGGCCGTTGGACGGAGCGTGGTCAAATGGATGCTGTTGCGTACGGGGTTTTTGGCGGACCCGAACTGCGTCACGACAAAACGTTTGTCGAATCACCCGAGGTTTGTGGGCCGTACGTATACAGACGGTGAGTCTTGATTCGTTCTTACTTTACGGGAAGGAAAAGTGCCTCCGGATAACTTAGATATTTACGAGCGCACCAGCTGCCGTACACCGTGATGCGGACGGGCCACCATCACCGAGGGTTCGGGTATCGTGGGGGTGGGCCCATATGCCACGTTTTAAATTCGGGGTCTCCCCCGCGGACACGTGGCAACGAAGCGCCTTTTGGGCTCCTCCTACCCCCCTCCCCCCCCCCCCCGCGGTCCCCGAGTCATGATCTCTAGGGTTTTTGATGCCCAGGGTTTCGGCAGCGGGAATCGCGCGCGGTTCTTGATCCAGGTAATCTTCCTCCCCCTTCTCCGAAGTACTCGAAGTAATTCGGTTGCTGTTCGCCGTCTGCTGCTGCCCTTTACGGGTTTTGTTTTGTTGCCTGGTGCTTCTTCTTCTTCTTCTTCTTCTTCCGTCGTCCGAGGTGGCCGCCGTGGTCGAGCTGGTTTCCGGATTTGATTGATTTCCCGGAGGCTGCGGGTTTTTTTCTTTCTCCTGTGGTCTCATGGTTTGGTTTGGGGGGACGCCTGTGCTCTGGTTGTTTTGTTTTTCTCGCGTTTTTCTGATTCCGGCACTCGCGTTGACTTGCATTTTGAGCTAGGGGGTGGACAGTAGACGGCCTGCTCCTGGCAGTGCTCTATTACTAGATGATATGGCTATGTATCCAACGATCGTAGGCTTCTATTTTACTGCTTCTGTTCCGTCGTAGTTTCAGCCGAGTTCAAGGTGTTTATGTGGGTACTCTCCTGTTTGGGTCCTTGTAGGTTCCAGTCCATGCGTCTGTTTGCGGTGCGTTTCTAATCAGCAGACGGCGAGGGGATTTCTAATCAGCTACCTATCACAAAGGCAAACTAGGAAATTTCTTACTATATTCTAAACGGATCTTCATCGAGCCAGCATCGAGACTTAACGGTAGCTCTAAATTTTTGATTTATTAGACTAGTTTCATCTGATTCTCATTTGTAGTGTTAAGATTTTTAGCATTAAGATTTGCAGTGTTAACATTTACTGACCGAAATTAAATCATCATGCTGAAAAACTCTGCTAGTTGAGATTTTGGACTTTGGTCGATTTTTTTGCCTACATACATATCCATGCGTGTACCATTATCCAATGTTCTAGTTTCTCACTTTTTCGGATTCTCTTCCATTCATTCATGCAGCATGAGCATTTTATTCTTGTAACTGTTTTTGCTGTTGATGTATCATTGCCTGACGTAATTGATACTTGGTTCCCCAGTGTCGTAGAGAAGATCCCTAAGCTCCCTTGAATTTTGGAGTCTGATAATTTATTTTATCGCTGGTTTACTCTATAGGGTTCTGGTTGAATTAGAAATCTCTCTCTTTCCGAATTTGTGTCTGTTGAAAAAATAAGCTAGAGCTCTTTTCTCACAGTCCCAGAGAGAAGATGATGTGGAATGAGTCTTGGGTGCATATTTGCTGCATTCGGAATTCTGTGGTTGACCGTCATCATTTTGTTAGTCCCTATTGGAGAGTCATTGAGGTACTTTTTTGGGGAAGTCTCTTCCTAAAAATGAAAAAGAGAGGTAAATGTGGCATGAGAAGATTGAGCGTCAGAACTAGGTATCGGGATACTTGACCATGGGCTGCATTGGGTTTAAGTTTTACCTTTTCAAGTTTTTTTAATATATTAAATATTTTTTGCCTTTTCTTAGCTTTCTTCAGTAAACTCCTATTGTTTTCTAACAGGCTAATTGTTGCCAAGGTTACTTATCCTTTACCGGAATGGGTTTTGATATCATGGTCTGAATAAATCAAACTCTCATGGTACCTCTTAAGGACCATCTTTTTGAGAAGTATTACATCCTCGTAAAGCAAGAAATTCTAAGGTACTGACTAACATGCTAAGTGAAAACTGGCGAAAAGAGTGGCCAAAGGGGGGGGGTTTAGGTAGTGGTTAATCGATGGAGAAAGATTGCAAAGGTGAAATTTTGTGAATCATTTGATTGTCTGTCGAATTTGACATTTTGACCTCAGCTATGCTTAGACGCTGTTCAAATTTTGAGGGAAAAATACGATCACCCTCCCTTATATATGCTTGCATAGGATATAATGTCCAAACCCTTTTCATCAAAACTAATTAGTGAATATAATGTCGGCATAAGATCCATAAAATGAAAGACATAGTAAGTCCAGGACAGATAATTTATATTTTGTCACGAATTGCCAATGACTTCTTCCTCTACGTGCTGACCTGGGCTTATATTTCTGGTCATCATCTTCATGTTATTGCTAGGTGCTATAAGAGGACATGGAAATGAGTCACCTAGGTTAGCAGGCCCAATGGCGTTTATCTGGATCACCCTGGTTCCAGTGATGAGCTTGTTATATTACCTGAAATGACTCATTGGGTGCCTTATATGGAAAGGATTGAGAGAAATATATTTCATCTAAAAATTGATGGCATCAGCTATTCATCAGAATTTCAGAATGAAAAATAGGTTGCAATGACAACCGTGCAAATGACATCTATAGATGACACCAAAATCGAGTAGGAAATGTTGGGCAACCAAATGATCAAAATCCACGGAGATCAATTCTTCTAGGTTACAAACTATCCTCTTCCCATCCTCCCACACGTGGCAGATGAAAATGAATATCATTTCTTCTGAGCAACTCATTTTAAATAGCTTGTGTGCAGGATGCACTTCTGCAATCCATGGCGTCCTTCTAGAAATCCTTTGTCAGTTTCAACAGGCCTAGAACTCCTCTTTTCTTCCTGGGGCCTGATTCTATTCCTCTTTTGAGAGTGAGCATGCTAGTGACCTTTGATGTGTGGGTTCCTCCTATCTGTACAGGTTGGTGCAATCCTTACATTTTGTTCATAAAGTGAGCTGGCAGTCACATATCAGTGGAGTTAGTGATAGGAGATCCTCTGTGTCAGTGTCCACTACCTGCAGGGATGTGAAAGTCATACACTTCATGCTGTAGGTTGAAAGACCCGTAATTGTTTTACCTTTTTCCCAGTTTTTTCCAGAATCAGTGGCTCGAATATCTTGCTTATATCCATTAAGTGTGCCGCTCCATTATTAAATTCCTACATAAATAAGGATATGTTCTGGGCCATAGAAGAATATTAGAGGAAATTCTGTGCATCTTAGTCATCAAATTAGGAAACAATAGTATTGCTTTAACAAGGTTTTCTTGGAGATGCTTATTCTTTTTTAGTGGTAACTTATTTAATACTTTTTGAAAGTGATAAAGTACCTGATCATGCCTCTTGAACAAGGTTTTCTTTTTTCAACTGATGGATCTGATCTGGTTTTTGAAAAGGTTAGGAATCCATTCATACAGATGTTTTTATCCTGGAGAGTAGGTGCAAAATGATTTCATTTGTTAGACATTTGAAAAATAAACTTTCCAGGAAGCAGTAACCAATGAAGAGATCTTTAGTGAAGCAAAGCAACGACTTTCCCTTACAATAGGAGCACATCAAGGATCAAACTTAATCTATGGATGGTGCCATTGACTGATTTAAAACTCGAAAGGTAAAATAACGCACAATAACCCATGTTGGGATTTTTTGATTTAATTTTGGCCAATTTCATCTAGGACGGTTTTGTAAACAAGCATCAACGGTCAACACCCCCCAACTAACAAGACAAAAAAAAGGGGGAAAAAATATCAGGGAAAGATGAAGTTTGTACTGTTTACAAAGAGTAGATCAAAAGTTTTTTGTAGCTGATTCTTTGTGCAATGCTCTGAATGATTTAGACAAAAAATTCATTCAGCGAATGAAGATGAATCTGTTATTCAGGAAAGTTATATGATCTAGTTTGATTAAAATTTTGTATAGTATAGGCTGGAATTCTTATGATGATTTTCGGATTTAAAGGGTCATAGTTTTTGGATAGGTTTACATTGTTCTTTATTTTTGCTTGTCCAGTGAAAATGGGTCACCTTGCTCTCTTGCAGAGACTCCAATGTCTCTCTCTTGCTGACCCCTTTCCTCTTTTCTTCCTTCTCCTGGGCAGCTGAATGTTTCGAACCCATGCCCTGTGTTGGCCATTTTAAACTAACATATTCATACATGTGCTCCTTTCTTTACTATTTTCCGATTCTTAGCTACCAATGCTTTTCATACGATCTTAATTGGGTTGGTGCCTGGTCGGTCTAGTTGCTCGGCATGATTCCATGATCCTTGTCTTGATCCCTTCTTTCCTGGTATTATAGATGGTCAGCCATTATTTTAAGGTAGAATTGCCTCAAATGTATGCCCTTTACAGCAGATATGGCTCTGGTGGTTACGATGAAGGATGCATTAGAGATTGAAGTGGGAGTAAGAAAAAGTCCGAGGCTCAGACTTTTATGAAGAAAGAAAAGGTACGGGGCTACTGCATCTTGATTGATGCATACCCTTTATCTCCATTTATTTTAACTTACAGAATCAGCATTTCGTTTGTGTTCCTCTGGAAATTAAGTAATTTAAGCATTAGAACTTTCAAAGCGAAAATTGTTGGCAATAATTGTTCCATCAGATGCTTTCTTATCTGCCACAAGTTTCTACATGTGGAACTGAATTAAGATTAGCACTACTTTTCAGGGGATTCTCTCTGGTATCTGACTGCACTACCCACAGATGTTCTAGTTCTATACCTTAGGAAAGATGTTGTGGCTCAAGTAGCTGACTGAGAAGCCTCTTGCTATTATGGATCAGTCATCGGCACCACAGTCTCAGACGGTCATGGGAGTTGCAACTGGTGCAGCAGGTCAAATGGCATATGCCACTCTGCCGTACCCTCCTCCGGCTGGAGCAGCAGCATCGAGTGGCCCAATGGTGATCGGAGCAGTGCCCGCCCAGCCTCAGTCACCGTTTCCCACTTCTCCCGCTCAGATCCCCAGCCAGCACCATCTCGCCTACCAGCAGGTGCAGCAGTTCCACCAGCAGCAGCTGCAGCAGCAACAGCAGCAGCTGCAGAGCTTTTGGTCCAACCAGATGATGGAGATTGAGGGGACAACGGACTTCAAGAATCACAGCCTCCCGCTTGCTCGGATAAAGAAGATTATGAAGGCCGACGAGGATGTGAGGATGATCTCTGCCGAGGCACCAGTGGTGTTTGCCAAGGCCTGCGAGATGTTCATATTGGAGCTGACCCTCCGGTCTTGGATTCACACTGAGGAGAACAAGAGGAGGACGCTGCAGAAGAATGACATCGCGGCTGCCATTACCAGGACCGACATCTTTGACTTCCTGGTGGACATTGTGCCGAGGGACGAGCTCAAGGAGGAGGGCCTTGGGGTCCCGAGGGCCACCCTCCCCATCGTGGGAGCTCCCACTGATGCAATCCCATATTACTATGTTCCAGCGCAGGTGGCTACCTCAGGGATGATCATGGGGAAGCCTGTTGACCAGCAAGCTGCTGCCGCTGCTGCAATCTATGGAGCCCAACAGACTCACCCTGTGGCTTATATGTCATGGCCTCAAATGCAGGCGCAGCCTTCTTCCCTACAACTCCAGCAGCCTCATGACATGCCTGACAATGCTTGACGAGGTCCTTGTGGCTGTTGTAAAGAGGTAGCCAAATCTTCTCCTGAGCTCTTTAACTCACGGAAAATATTCTATTTTTTCCTTTTTTATGGTACTGGAGCGTTTCACAGGTTAATCTCAGAGATCAATCAATTTCAGGTTATTGCAGCACGCCCCTCCTCCCTGCTTCATGCATGGTTATTAGGAACAGCCGAAAAGTGATAATTGTGAAAGTAGTGCTTGTAGTTTATGATGGGAGGATGCACATTTTTTCAAAGCGTCAAGGTTGGCTTTGTTGGCATCTCTCTTTTTCCTGGTTTTAGTCAGAGATTAAAGAGGAAAGAAAATCCTCGAAGAATGTTGCTTGAATATTTCTGTTATTTTCTTATAAAGCATATGATTGCAGATATATATATTCTCTGTGATGATGGATTTGGTTGATGTGTTCAGATAGAAGGCAAGGTTTAGGGATATGAAGGAAATTAGGATGAGAATATGCACTTTAATTTTGCTGAAAATCTTGGATGGGCTGTTGGTCGGATAATCCATTGAGGGGAAATGCTCAAGCGGTCCTTTATATTGAAGAAGAAATCACACTATGGCCATAACTATCGGTTTCCTATTTCTCATCTTTTTCTCCCTTTTCAGTAACCCTAAACATTCTTTTTACCGTACTATGAGTTAATGAATGAATGAAGGGGATTTGGGTTTTACCTAAATGCAACTTAAATCGACATTTGGGTGTACTAAACATTGTGATTGTTAGCTGAGTTTATTAATATATAATGAAGCATTTTAGTGACCTTGACGGTGATACGACCCTAGATCATATCTTGTGATTTGTATTTCTTCTTCTGATGAACAAGTCCTCAAATTTCAACCAGACAATAGTCTTTCATAGAGAGAGAAACCTCAAAGAAAAGAGGGAGAGGAGAGGTAGAGAAAAGGGGTGGTCTTTAGGAATCTCTTGGGAAAGGGGACACCGGCAAGGATCATTCTTCCTCAGATAAGGATCGTAGAATGAGAAACGGAGAGAGAGAGAGAGAGAGAGAGAGAGAGAGAGAGAGGGAGAGAGAAGGCCAATAGAGATAGGCTCCATTGTTGAATTTAAAGGAGGCTCTAATTGGGCCTAGTGGGTCGTGATGGGCCTTAGCCCTCCCTCTTCTTCCTTTTTTAGATATAGACCCTTATTGGGGTTGTATCAATACTCTCCCCATGAGCCTTAAGCTTGTCCTGAAGTTGGAATTCAGATAGTTGCTTCTATTTGATCAAAACATGACCACCATCTGGTAAAGGCTGGACATTTAGCAACTCCTTTGGTTCCACCCCTCCGCTCTTGGTCTGTTGATAATGGGGTAGGAAGTTCCTGCAGTGTGATGCCGCCAATAAGAGCTCTCCTATGTAGAAAAGTTTGAAATATCATATTCATCAAGGACTGAAATGTTGTGGGTGCATTTCAAAGATCAAATGGCATCACCAATTATTCATACTTGATGAGTGTGAAAAGTAGTCTTCAGTATGTCATCCTCTTTCATTTTGATCTGATGTAATATGATTTTAGATCTAACTTGAAGGAGACTATTTCATCGTGTAACTTATCCAAAAGCTCATCCACGACTGAAATAAGAAAGTGGTTGGGCACCATTACTTGGTTGAGAGCTTTGTAATCAACACAAAATCTCCAACTGCCATCTTTTTTCTTCACTAATAGGATGGGGCTGGAACAATGACTATTCAAAGGTTGGATTATATGCCCATATGCAACTATTCTTCCATCAATTTCTCTAGCTAATTCTTTTGTAAGTGAGAATAGCAGTAAGGGCATCAGTTCACTAGTGCTATGTCAAGTAACAAAATGATTATGTGGTCTGCTAGCTTGGTAGGAGGAAAAACAAACTTTGAAGAGAAGACTCTCGGAAAAGTTTATTAGAACACTACCATCGTCCCCTCTTGAGATCCTACCTCCAAAGTCGGCTTTGATAAATTGGATGAATAGTGTAGTCCAAAGTCAGAAGCCCCACTCAATGCCTTGGGTGCCCCTAATTGTCTGGACCCACTGGATAGTTGCTTGTTGCTGGATCACCTTAGAAAGTATGCTGTACCCCATTAACCCAAAATTGTAACATGAGTAACTCATAATTAATTTGAATCCAACCTAAGGTTTGTAACCACTTTGCCCTAAGGACGACCTCAATCCAAATATAGTCAAGAAGTACGAAATCTTAGACAAGAAAACCTTTGGACAGACATGGATAGGCCTGTGCAGAAATCCCGCCCATGGATAACATGACCATCCCCCAACTTAATTCTATATGGGTATCCTCATGATGTGGAAAGGCCTAGGTGCCTAACCAACTCATGGCAGACGAAGTTGTGCGTAGCCCCATCGTCGACCAGTACAGCCACCGTGTGGTTCTAAATAGTCCCCGACATCAGAATGCTGCCACTGCTTGTGACCCCCAAGCTGGCGTGGAGTGAAACTTTGAAAGAGGCTAGGGTGCCGGCCACGTCCAAATTCGCCTCATCTAACACTGGCGCATCGCCCTCTTCTGAATTGCTCTCATCCACTGCCTCCTCCACAATATAGCAACGTAATTCCTTTTTACACCAATGACCCAGTGTGAACTTTTCGTTGCAACGAAAATAAATGCCCTGAGTGTGTCGATGGTGCATCTCTTCCAATGTGAGGTCAAAGTGCTGGGGACTATTATTGTTCAGCTGGCCCTGTCCTTGATCCTGCTACCCATGCTGCCCCGCAGTATTGCTGCTTGGCCCCCCTTTTCATGGTACCAACTCTTGACGGCTCACAATAGGACGTGCCACACCTTCCATCTCCTTACGGATTCGATGGGAAACCATGAGTAACTAAGCTTCGATGTTGAGAGAAAATTCATGTATTTTCATGATATCCCTCGGTTTCCCGCAGTTCATAGCTTCCTGAATGTCGTTTTGGAGGGCTGCTAGGAATGCCTCGGCCTGTACCTATTGGGATAAGGTCTTCCACTAACCCATTTTGTCTCAAGGCAAATAAGTGTTGGGAGGTGCTCCTCTAATTATAGTCAAAAGGCTCTACCAAGAGGCAAGGTCAAACCAGTCATGGAATTCAACCTGTTGGTCCTAGTTGCTGAACCTGATAGAGCATTACCATCCAACTAAGTCATTACTGTGTGGATGCAATCCCAGTCATGCATCAGATTGAGGTTGAAAAATTGTTCCACCCCTGGTAACCAGCCTTCTGTGTTCTCACCCGTAAATATGGAAATCTCCCCCTTGCGCTGGAAATGAACATCGTTCTGGTTCAAAGGTGTTGCATGGCATCGATGCAGAACCGCCCCATTAACACTCAACAAATCTTTGGCGAAATCCTCATCTGATTCGGGGTGGCACCATCATGATAAAATTCCTCTTCCCAAGGTGGTGCATAAGGAGAGCCAAGTTCCTTCTTAACCTAGTCAAAATGATGACCTTGATCCCAAACTCAACCCTTGGCTGGTGGCATAGGGAGATTGAGATGACCAGCTCTCCCTTGTCTCCGAGTTTGAACTCCAGTAGGGACCGTATTGAGACCCCCAGACAGCCATGATCGGGGAAGGAATGGGGGTCTCTTTAGGGATCCCCTCTAGACTGCTCCAAAAAAACTTGGATTTGGCCCAACATAGGGGCCACTTCTTCTTGGCCAGGCTGCTTTGATGCGGCCAAGCCCAATTGGATGAGTTTGGGTTGCCTCATCATCATGGACCCTTCCATAAGTGGGGTCACTTGTATGGCCCTTGCCCTCATGCGGCCTGCCCTAGCTGACCCCTCATGTGCCCTGCCCAATTGAATTGAGGGTTGGTAACGTGAAATGTATGCCATCTCTTGTTTGCTGTTGGTGGTGATGGGAGACAGATCAGACATGGTAGAGTGGTGGTTTACAAGGTAACAAGTCTTCATTATTATGAGTTAATAATTAATGAACGATATATTTTAAGTCTTAACTCCTATGAATAAACTTATATTTATGTTCAATTGTGAAAAGTGATTTTTAGTTGGTGAATATGAATTTTTGACTAATGAAAGAGAAATAAAATAAAATAAAATCTAGAAAAAGAGGGGACCCATTGACTAATTGAGCCTACAAGTGGGTCGGAAGGACAATCGTGTGGAACTGTGAGTAGGGAACTTGAGCAGCTAAGGACTAGTAGGTAAGGGGCAAATTTGTGTCATTCTCTTTCCACATCATTGGTGTCAATTGGGTGTGGGACAAGGAGTGGTTGTACAAATATGAGAGATAATATATTGATGACATAAATGCGTATTATTATATATCTATCTAAAATCATCGAAATAGCTAATGGGGGACTAAACTTGCGCCATTGCTCCTAGGTACATTTTACATATTTTTATAGCTATAATGCCCTAGATCTATGAGAAGGAAGTGACTCTATGACATCATTAGGTAATGGTATGAGTGTAATTGATTACCTCTCTTTCATGTAGACAAACAACTAGTGAAGGTTCAAACCTCACAAGAATTAAAATTCATATTTTTTATTTGATTAACTCATAATTTTTCTATAGCGCCGGTCAATGATTAAGCCACTAGAATTATTAAATCATTAGTGAAAATATCATTAACATGATTCATGGAATATTATTATCAATTAGTAAATGATTATAAATAAAAATATTATAAATTTATTGAGTAAATCATCTCCGATTGATTGACAAATCAACCTTCATTAGAAAGAAGACAATCTGCTAAGAGATTAGTCACCACCTCCTAAGAATGTACTAGATGAGATGAAGAACCTCTTCTTGCTATACAAACTTGAGGATGAAGCTTTATAAGATATGCCTCACCTTCATCTAGTTTATCTATGTTGAGTGACAGCCGTTAAAGATTTATAAAGTTGTCCTTTTTCTACTCAATCAGGTGACAACAACTAGAAATAATTTATTGATCTATCTCATTGATTTTTAGATTTCGCAATAAAATCTAGAGATTGCCCATAGCATCTATGTCTATGAAGAGCCTTTGA